GCTGAGATGAAATGGAGGCGGTTGGTTAAATAGGACTCGAACCATGCGAGTGCGGTCCCACTAAGGTAGATGAGGGAGGAGAGGCGGTGGAGGAGGATGGCCTGGCTGACTGATCCAGGAGGACGAGGAGGCAAGGGAGCTCTGCTTACAGATAGAGAGAATATCGTTTGTGACTTTGACGAGTGCTGTCTCTGCAGAGCGAAAACCAGACTACAGGGGCTTGAGGAGGGAGAGGTGTGACCAAAGTTGACCTAAACAATGCATTCCCAGATTTTAGCAAGAAAGGGCAGGCTGGAGATGGGACGGTAATGTGAGAGATTAGAGGGATCGAGGGTGGGTTTTTGAGGAGGAGTGTGATAACAGAGGTTTTCAAGGAGAAAAAAATCTAATCCAAGTAAATATTTCAGCCATTATGCCATACTATTGACACATTTTGCTTGAAACAACTGATATTTTTAACCTTCCCCAAAGGACACATATTGGGGATGCAGATTCTTCATGTATGAGACGAGTGATGTCTGCAAACTATTCAGCCACAGGAAGCATCACGGCCAAGTTTAATCCTGTGTTTCTTACCATTTTCATACCATCAGCGCACCACAGCCAAGCCCAAACTAAGTCTTCTCCAAGTGCACACAAAAACTCTTACCAGCAGGGGTCACTGGATAACCAGTGTGATTATTTTCTCTGAAACCCAATTTACTGAGGCTAAGACTATCACTGAGCAGAGATCAGCTTACTCAGCACAAGCCAAGGATCAAGTCCAAGACCTAGAACGGCAATTTCATACTTGGCAGTTGGTTTACCAATGAAACATCAGAGGAGCTTAAAGCACAATTATGTAGCATTGCATTTCCCATTCCAGTCCTTAGCCTGACAAGTCACTTCTAATACTATTCTCCATTTGATACTGCATTGCGATCTTACAAGTACTCCTCACCTTCTAACACTTATTCTTAGCTTTTCATTCCTTTGAAGCTGTGCTTTGACAACTGATGGATTGCATGTCCGCACCCATTAACTTGTTCTTGGTGGACAACTGCACATTTCAGTGAAAACTGTGTGAGGTTTTGATAACAGTTGTTGAGAGGGATGTCAGCTTGACTCAATTAGTAATATTCTCACCTTTGGATCAAAGATTGTGGGTTCAACCCCCACATTGGGAATGAGCTCGTAGTCTAGGCTCACCCTCTAATCCAAAGTCAAGAGTGCAGCATTGTTGGATGTTGTCCTTCAGATGAGGTGAGCTAAGATCCTATCTACATGTTCAGATGGACATCAAAGATCTGATGACAATATTTCATAAGAGAAAGCAGTTTCTTCTGGTTTTCTGGCAGACAATCAGCCCGATAAACTGGTCATTTATTTCATGTCTAGGTATGCAGGACTCTGCTGTATGCAACATTTCTGCTGTTTTTACTTATGAAGAGTCACTACACTTAACAGTTATTATTTTAAAGCACTTTGAGATGTTAATGTGATAGGTACTATAAAAGTCCATGTCGTTCTTTGAGAAAAATCTTTGAAGAATGAAAAAGAACAGAAATGTTGTTGTTCATAATCTAACTTTAAAGAGTGTTTTAAACACCATATAATAAAAATCCTTGCATTTGATATAGCAGCTTATCATGTCTTCGAGACATCGCAAAGTGCTTCACAGAATATATTGTAGAGTGAATTGACTGTATATTTTGTGTGTGAAATGCAGCGGCCAATTGCGCAAAGCAGTATTCCACAAATTGTTGTGGATTTGGTGATCAAATTATTATTATTTTTGTAATTTTTTTTGAAGGGATTATGACCCCCGGAAAAGCGATCCCCCAATCGACTAACAAGCAGGTTCCTACTTACTGCTAGGTAAATAGAGGCATGTGGAGTAAGGAAATTTGCCCAATGTTTCACCCTGCCTGGGAATCGAACCCAGGTCCTCTCACTCATGAGGCTAGTCCTCTAACCACTAAGCTACAGGTCTGAGATTGCTCAGTTATCACGCACTGACTATCCAAACGCCATTTATCTGCAATGAGGCTCTGATGCAGAACTTAAATAAGGTTGTGATATCAGCAAATATTAGGTGTGCATTTATCCATTAAATCACCATGTATGTTATTTATCCCAAACAACATCAATAAACAAGGCAATAGGATTCTGGACTGTACTGCCAAATCAGTCGAGTTCAAATCTCCAGAATAACAAATTTAGAGTGATCTAGAGGGAAAGATGCACAAAAGCTAATACAGTACAAGAGGAAGACACGCACACACAAACCTGATATCCACACTGCTTTCATATCCACAAAGGGGTCAGGTCCCAACGATTGATCTTTCTACTATACTGGGCAAAACAATCAATATAAATCAAATACTAATAATCAGGGGAAAATTGTAAAAAAAAGACTTAATGATGTATGTCAAATATGTTAACTTGTTTAGGATGCAAAGTTCTCGCAGCGATTATTCTGGGCCTGCTGTGTGAGGAAATGCCATCACATTAAAATTCTGGCACTGTGAGTCTGGAAATCATTCTAGTACATCGAGTCCAATGCAACTTCACCTTTTAAACCAAACTTGTTGATAGATGGTGCTGTTACAGCAATGCCATAATGCAAGAATTGTATATCTCTACTTAGTGGTTCAGTAGGATTATATCCCCCCCACCCTGAAGTTGGCAAGGCCATTTACAGACAATATGATCAGTAAGAGTGATACAGGTTGCAAACCCTTTTAAACTAAATAGAGCTGTGTTTATTTTGTTGGAAAGAGTGACATGCATTAAAATAGGTTACAATTCTAAACTGAAATATGAGAGAGATCGTGCAGAAGTGAGACTTGGCAGGTCTGGGGAAAAAGTCAGAGACTTATAGAGGAACATAGGCTAAATAGCATTTGATGGTTCAAAATCTGAAGGAAGCAGTGACATCAGGAATGTAATGTCAGGTAAAGTACTTCAATCTGTGGAGATTTAAGTGGAGACCATGATGAGAATTCTAAAGGATTGCAAAATACTACATGTACAACTGTTTTCAGATTAGCATGCAGTTATAGTCATTATGTTACACTCATCACAAGTCAAAACGGGTATGCAATACTGTAGGGTCACATTTGCAATACTGTGTGCAATTTTTAGCATTGTACCTTCCAAAGCACATTGATTTAATGGAGACGATTCAGAAAACGCCAAGATCAATGTGGTCACTAAGTTGTGAAAACAAGATGACAGAATTTAATGTATTTTCAACGGTATATAAATGTAAATTTGTATTGCATTGTATGAGTAAATTGTTTTAATGTATGGATAACAATGTGGATGTAAGCATAACTTACACTCTGATTATAGGCTGAGGATCACAAAATTAGTTTGGATGAAGCATCCCCTTCAGCCCCTTTCACCTCATCATTCCAGAATATCCATGCTTCTGTCTTCTCATCACAGCATCAAGCTACGTTTAAAAGAGTCCAATAATCTTGCCTCAATTATTCCAGAAAACGTGTTCCAGTTGCTAATTAGCCTCTGGGTAAAGAAATACTTCCTGGTGTCTGTCCTGAAATTGCTCTATGCAACTCTAAGCCTACACCCTTTTGTCCTGGGTTTACTTTCTCAATCCCATTTAAAATGAAATGTTGTGTACCTGTATGAAGGACCCCTTTGAAATGTCTTCTTTCAAGATTGAAGAATCCTACTTTGTCTAATCGTTGCTTACTCCTCTAACATTGAGGATTATCTTCATTGCTCTCCTGTGACTCCAAGGTCTGGGAACCCACAGTGCAATCCAACCAGAGCAGCATAAAGCTCCTGTGGATCTGAATTTAACTGATTTGGCAATAAAGCCGACATCTTGTTTGCCTTCTTTACTGACGCAAGCACAAAATTGATAAACCTCATGCAAAACTAAATATACTACAATATAAATGCTTGCATACTTCACACATATTTCAATATATATGCAAAACTACAATATTCTCAATATTCTACCCCTCAAAGCATAACAACTTTATGGACTAAAGGCCACATTACCACATATTCTACACAACATATTCTACATATCCATTTTCCCAAGCACTATGAAATTTCACATATGCATTGCAAATGGAATTACATAATTTGCAACATTTGACTAATAACCTGGAACTTACACGATTGATACCTTCTGAGATCGAGGACAAAAAAAACTTGACGTGCCTTAAAACAGTTTTATCTGGGATTTAAATCACAATTTAAAGCACAATTTAAATAAATTCGAAGTCTATGGCTGTAGATTTACATAGTCCACTGGAAGGAACTAATTTAGTAGTTAAATAAACACTATCCTCCGTGGTGGGGGTTGCATAAATGCAATTAGTTTTTTTTTCTTGTTCTGTACATCTTCTTTTCTAGTAATGTCTAGGGTCAAACATCAGAATATATTTTAAATTTTATATAATGATCTTTGCATTTTATGCAGTGCTTATAATGCTGAAACATCTCAAATGCTTCATAGGTAATTGCTACTAGAGTATTTGTACAAATACAGCAGCCAATGTACGCAGTGATCCAAAACGAAACATGGAGTGAATGACTAATTTAGCTGGTGGACACCTAGAAACTCCCTTTTCAAATATTGTGAATGGATTGTCAACATCCACCTGAATAGGCAGATTAGGATTTGGGTTAAAATCTCAATGGAGGAACTGCATGTCTGATAATTCAGTGCTCCTCCAGCACTACACTGGAGTGTCAGCCTCAACAATGAGCTAAAGACTCAATGTGCCTTAAACCCAAAGCCTCCTGACCCAGAGGTGAGTGCTACAAACTGAGCCAAGTAACAGTATAATTTGCATTTTAGCTTTGCTATGTACACAAATCATTTTACGTATTAACAATTTGTCATTTATAGGAAGTATTGTAAGGATATTGTTGCTCCATGTCAGCAAATGACTATTAGTGAGGCAGTAGCATTTGATGGCTTATCTGATCTCCAAGAGTTCTGAATGAATACATGTTAAATATGGGTGAAAAATACATCAGGAGAAAGAGCTTTAATTTATTTTTTTCGGGCAAATTATACACCAAGTATTTACATGTGCTGTTTCAAAGTATACAAGGGTCATTATATTTGACTTATTAACTTTGAACTGTCATCTTTTTAAAATAGAAAGTAGTCCATGATCTACATGCACATATTTTCATTCACTTTCTCATGCAGGTTCATCATCAGACTGTGGTATGAAGACAAAAGGATTGGTGAGATGATTATGTCTGGACTTCTAACCTCTGTAGGTATTGCTTCAAGGAACAGTAGCAAAGAGGAAGAGCTGTAGAAGAGGCATAACCTTTAGTGTGGAAAGATCAGCAAGTACAGCCTGTAGGAACAGAAAATCGCTGATTAGAAATATATATAACCTGTCACCACAAATAGAACTCTTGGAAATCAGATAAGCAACAAAATGCTGCAGCTGTTGAATTGCAACCTTTTTATGTGGGTTTCCTGGGATCGAGTACGATCTTGATATATAAAAGCATCATCGTTAAAACAAAACAAGGAAATGTAAACGTGTGTGAAGTCTCCAAAACAATATTAGTGGTTCAATATATGTTATTGTACATGCCGAATGGGTTTAGCTTTGATCTCATCGTCTCATCTTGATATTGTAGTAGCTGATGTATGTGCCCAATGAAATAGGTCTACTGAAACAAATCACTGAAACAAGTCCTGTATGAATTATGTGTCACCTGCATAATTCATTCAGGAGATGATTTGTAGGCCACACACATTTCATACAGAAGATGATTTGCACGTCATACAAGCAATGAACATGAGAACCAACATCTACAGTTGGAGTTCCATAGCGTAGTGGTTAGCGCACTCGCCTCGAAAGCGAGAGGACCTGAGTTCGATTCCTGGTGGAGCAAAACTCAGGCAAGTTTCCTCACTCCATACACCTCTGTTTACCTAGCACTAAATAGGAACCCGGTTGTTAATAGATTGGGGGATCGCTTTCCGAGGGTAATAATCCCCACCACCCAAAAAGAAAATTTGGTCAATCACTCCAGGACTGTTTGTGTGAAATTGCTGTATGCAATTGAGTGTGCATTTCGCCCACAAAATATAGTCAGTCCACTTTACAGTATATTCTGTGAAGCGGTTTGAGAAGCCTCAACGACACGATAAGGCGCTATATCAAATGCAAGGATTACTATTATTATTAGGAAAGAACATCTATTAGTTAAGGTTACTACTAGCAAGATGAAAGCAAGAAAATATGCGATACTTTTACATTAATCACCTTTGAGAATGACGATTCACTTTTGAAATGAGGCTGCCCTTTGTTAACCAAATTATTAGCTCAACTCTGTTATGCTGTTAGTCAGCTCTTTGCTCCCAATCAAACAGAAAGGAACGTTCATAAAAGTGAGGGAACCTGAACATGGTAGCCTCATATATAGAGGGGAACATTATTATTAGAAAAATGAGGTACAACCAACAAAATGAGGTACAGCAGATAGTCTGAGAAAAACTCCCCTCCATTGAGAGGAAGTGACGACAACAATTTGAAAAATTCCAGAGCACTGGCCTTTGGATATCTCAGAAGCCATGTTACAAAAAAGGCCAGCAATATGACCAACTTCCAGGTCATCACTGATGTTACTTTCTGAACATTGCATGCATGTGTGCTGTGTGCAGAAATCACTCCCATGCAAGTGATATCTGTGAGTTGAAAAGTCAAGAGTAACCCCCCTTGCCATTAATATGAATTCACAAAGACCTTGATGTAAAGACGTGTCAGTGGTGCTTTCACAGATAGTAGCATTGGGTAGTCCAGGTGTCCAGACAACATTCTGATGTAATGTCATTAGTTCATGACATAGTTGATGGGGTTATGATTCTACCAACTCGGGGCATAAAACATTCTGAATCTGAAGCTAAAATGAAAAATCCAAAATTACAAGAACAAAACAATCTTGTCTATAGTTGTCATTGTCTACTTCTTTTTGTGATAAATTTATATCAGGCTCTGAGTCCTTCAATTTTACCTCCAATCTCCTTGATCTGCTCAGATCCCACACCACCTAAATTAAAGCCGGTCCTTTGCCAATAGTCTGAACTGACCTCTGGGAGATGCATGATAGTGTGCTTGGTCCAGCTCTCTCTTCTTTCCCCACCTCAAAGGCATCAACCTCCTACTTGGCACATCTACTGCATTGAGGGACCAAAACATCAGGCCTCCTCCCCACCACCCCTCTCCTCTAACCCAGAGTAAAGCTGTAATTCCTTACTTCAGCTGCAGCAAGTGATGTCGCTTCCATGAGGTTCTCTGCTCTGAAGGCAAATACAGCAGCTGCCAGCACTGAAATAAAATAGACAGGATTAAACAGCGGTCACACCTGGGACAAGTCCCTTAAAGTCAACTAAACACCTGGGCAGTTTGCTGGCAGGATGCTGACATTTTCCCTAAATATCACCATTAACACAACAAAGGCTTAACAAATGAAGGGATTATTATTATAGCCAAGATTTTAATGTACGCACAGGTCAATCAACAATGATTTGTGTAGCTAAACCAATTCCTGATACATTTGCATTCCTGGTCACTATTATACCAAACAGCAACTCAGTGATGAAATACTAAAAGTGTTCTTCCTGCCCCTCTAGCAAATCAACAAAGACTGTCTAAAATGGAGAATGTTATTTAATAAACTGTAAATAAACTGAAAATCTATGTGTGCAATTGGCTACCGGGTTTCATCCACAAAATATACATTCAATTCACTTTAGTTTGTTCTGTGAACCTCTGAGACGTCTCGAAGACTTGATAAGGAGCTGTATCAAATGCAAAGGTTATTATTATTATAGACTTCAATATAGTTCAATAAAACAAAAGGCATTGTAATAGGACTGCACGTTATCTATCAGTAGAGTATTATACCCATACTAGAACATACGATTCTTAGCTGTGAGTGCGTTCAAATCACAATCTTAAGCCACCTTTTGTAGACTTGGCAAAATACTGCAGAAGCTGGAAATCTGAAATAAAAACAGAAGTCGCTGGGAATGCTCAGCAAGTCCGGCAGCATCTATGGAGAGAGGAAAGTAAGTTAATGTTTCTGACAAAATGTCATCGATCTGAAACATTAACTCACTTTCCTCTCTCCACAGATGCTACCTGACCTGCTGAGTGTTCCTAGCGACTTCTATTTTTATTTGGCATATTTGCGTTCACTAGAGGGAATCAGTTTGTCAAAATGATAATAATAATATAAATCCTTGCATTTGATGTAGAGCAGACGTCTCAAAGCGCTTCACAGGATATATTGTAAAGTGAAGTGATTGTATATTTTGAGGGTGAAACACGGCAGCCAATTGCGCACAACAGTATCCCACAGACAGTCATGGATTGAGTGACCAATTTTTTTTTTTTTTTGAAGGAATTATTACCCCCGGAAAAGCAATCCGGGGGTAATAATTCCCCCGGATCAATTAGAGTGTTCTAACCACTAAGCTACAGGACTCCACAAAATGATTTGGGAAAAGGGATGAGAAAAACTAACATAGGCAAATCGTAAGAGGCTAACGTGTCTGGAACTAGAACTAGAAAATTAATTTGTGGACATACTGTTTGAAGTTGCGATGTTTCCAGCAGAGGTCCTCAGTCAGCTATTTAAGTACAAGATTTCCTTCCAGTGCCAAACTGGGGTACGCTTTTATATACAGTGAAATCATAATTTGACTCAAAATTGTTCAATAAATTCATATAATGAACTATTCATATAACTGAACTTGCATTCAGACAGGTCATATTTTGATGCCATGTATGATGTGTGTTTATTAATTTAAATACTACTTTCTATTTAGTTGATTTAAGTGATACTCATTAATAAAGACCATTGCAATTTCTCTTCACTTTCATTTACATACACTCACAAACAAGCAGAGATCGCGCAAACATCATTTTCCAGAAATGTCTAAAAATTTGTTGCTATGTAAAGAAACAATGAGTGATATTAATTATAGACTTATTGTAGAATGCAGGTACATCCTGTAGAACGTAGTGATTTGGAATTATGCATTTATCCAGACTCATATTATTTGATTTTATATTCAATTAACCCATCTCAGATAAGTTGTGTAAATGGTTTGGGATTTCTAAATTCTATTCTATAAACCAAATAATTCAATTATCCGATGTTCAATTACTGTATAATCTATTGATTGTATTCAGCAGGATACAGGGAGACAAAATTACAAAAAGATGAGCATAAGGCGTTGCATTCATTTCCTTTACATATCTCCACATCATGCTGCTGTTCTCATACCAGCAAGAATCTCCAGCGAATTGTACCCCAGAATTCTGTCCCAAAGAAACAAGAGCTGATCAGTTGCTAGGTAGCCTGAGAATGCCCTCACCATCCATTTAAATGATATTCGAAGCCTGTGGGGAAAAAAATAAAAGGTTAACATACATGTAAAGCAGGAGATAATAATAATAATAATAATAATAATAATAATAATAATAATAATAATCCTTGCATTTGATATAGCGCTTTTCACGTCGGGAGGACGTCCCAAAGCGCTTCACAGAACACACTGTAAAGTGAATTGACTGTATATTTGTGGGCGAACGCGGCAGCCAATTGCGCACAACAATGTCCCACAAACAGTCGTAGATTGAAAATGACCAATTTATTATTGTTTTTGGTTTTGGAGGGATTATTATTAGGCGTGTGGAGTAAGGAAACTTGCCCAAGGTTTCGCCCTGCCTGGAATTGAACTCAGGTCTCTCGCTTGCAAAGCGAGTGCTCTAACCACTGAGCTACAGGACTCCAATATATTTTAACAGTAAAAGCTACATGAACATCAAGCCTAAAGTTCACAAACACATTATCTTTCTGTAACATTATTTGATTTCTAGAGAATTAGTTACTGCATAAGAGCAAGAAGTAATGTTAGAATACTCATCCAGCACCTGCTAACATTCAACAACTCAGTATTTCTCTTGTAGTCTATACAAGATAATGTAATGCCTCATTTACCACAAAACAAGTCCACCAGTAATGTACTCCTTCAGAGCCCCATATTGCGCTGTGTCACTTTAATGCTAAAGGTCCTTCTTTATCCAAACAGCTCAAGATCTTGCAAATGCATTTGCAAAGCTGACCATAAATTGTGCAGCTCTTTCCATCTGCACATCTCAGTATTATCAACAACATATTATAACATAACATTTTAATTTCAAGGAGCAATATATTCGGAGCATTGGGAAAACTTCAGCCAATCGAGCCTGCAGGACCACTTTATTGGATGTTGGCTGTGATCCCTGTGCCCAACCCTTTCACCATATCCCTTTATGCCTCCAAGACCCAAGTATTTGTCAGTGTTTTTTTTAAACATGCAAGAAAGAATATTGAAACAGTCTCAGCAAGAGCTGATTGTATGGCAGGGCAAGTATGACCATCCCAAGTATAATAAATTGTAATTGAAACTCAGTTCATGATAAACCTAATGTCACATTTACTTGAGGAATGTGCCCTCTCTGCACTGTGACTCTGAATCACTGGGTGCAATTTGTAAATTAAGTATATCACAGAAGACTGTAAAATTAGTAATTTTTTACTGGGATAAAACCGAGAATTGGGATGGTTGAGAATTGGGATTGTCTGTGTTGTCATACAGAGAATTCCTATAAGCACTCATTGATCATTAATAGCTTCAAACACTAAGGTATTATTTTCCGTTACAATTACGTTCAAAACAGGACATTATGGATGGCATTCTTACACTTTATTTGAGGAATTAGTACTTACGGTTGAGCTCCAATTTCACGTAGACGATAAAAGAGTTGAGGGAGGTAAGTCTGAACGAGAGTCTCAAACAGGAGACAAAGTGATACAATTCCCTAAAGATAGACAATAAAAGATGCTCTAACATCCATGCTGGAGTCCACACAAAACAGATTTCTAATTGAAGATGGGAGGAGATAAAATCCTACAAATACTGCTCAGTACCATCAAATTGATATCACATAAATTCCGTTACAACAATACATGCTAGTTAATAATTTTGTTTTATTTATTGGGAGGGAAGTTGGAAACAATCAAAGAAAAATGACTTTTGTTGCATTCATCACTGAACTGATGAGTCATTAACAAGCTTTTCACAATATCGGTCTATAAAAGAATTAAATGATTTGCAGGTATCAAGCAGAAAATTCTGCCATACAGGATTATGATTTGGGCTAAAACTAACTTCTCTTTAATGTCTTGGGCACAGTCAGGGATTAAGTTGAAAGAGAAAAAAAGGAATATTTTTTAAAAAGTCCCACTCATGCTGGGGGGAGGGGGGAGAAAGAATAAATGGCAACAACAGGATCACTGAATGACGACACGTAATGCTAATCCTGAAACTTCCAGCGATATAGAATAAAGAGGACATTAATGATTACTAGGGAATTAGGCATCCTGCTTTCATCCTGGTCTGAATGCTTTTTAAAATAAAAACTTAATTTATAGCAAAACATTTGGATCTAAATAAAGTCATTAGTGAAATTATAACCCAAAGACACTATGCCCCAAAACTTTGGAACTCTCTCCCTCAATCCCTCCACCTTGCCCCCTCCTTCCCCTCTTTAAGATCACATCTGAAGACCTTCCTCCTCGATCGTGCTTACAGTCACCTTCTCCCTCCAACCCGCTTGGTGTTAGTCTCTGTCACTGTTAAGCGCTCTGAGACGCTGCCCTGTGTGAAGGAGATGTTGTTGAAAAAGGAACATGATAACCAGCTGATCTTATAGACTTACACAAAATGTATCTTTGTATTTGTGTTTCTGCCTCCAACTAAGCTGCATAAAGGGCACAATGAGACTCACTTTATTTCTAAGGTCACTTGGTCTTTCAGAAAGTTTGACTTTCAATTAATTTTTGAAGGTGGTTTGTTTTAATATAACAGTTGATCTCAACTTCTGGAGTGCCATAACACAACCTTGGATAAATGATAGTTTTTTTGTGACTGATCTGAACAGGATCATTACTCAAAATGGTAAGTAAGGAGTATTTATAGATCAACTACTTTGCTATACACAAAGCAAGGAATTGTCAAAATGTCTGAGTGGGTACCAACGTCATACACTGGTTACTTTCTATTACATAATAATTGTGAAGAAATTGTTAACTTTTTGAATAAAACATAGGACATTATTTAGGGGATTAACGCCAAAGTAAGTGATGAGTTATGACTTTTTAAATCCCTGAACTCAGAATCAAGGTTACTGTAAAAAATGGGGTATAAGATGAAAGTTTACATTTCACATTCTACTCGCTTATTCTCAAGAAATATTGTAAAAGCATCTCTGGAACACACTTTCCACAGAAAAGCTATTTAAATATTTAAAGTAATGTTTATGTATTTGGATGGGAAGTAGGTTTAAGTGAAATGTTGGAATATAAACTGTGGATACTACTATCATTAGGAAAATACAAAACGGGAACAAAACTAATCCTACTATGCTTGGCTTCCATCAGTTGTACTTTTAGTTGAAAACAAGTATGTTATGAATAGCTGCATTTCATACCTACTGATTGTGGGAACCAAGTATCCCTGAAATTGTTCATTTCTGAAAGCAATACAAGAAAGGAACAGATTCCTGCTGCATTTTCATCACACCCCCATGAACTCACCGAGGGATGGGATGAAATGGAATGAAGCCTGAAGAAATATCGCACATACATCTCGCGGAACACTTGGTAAAGTTTGGAGGGTTCATGGTAGAGAAAACAGAGTGGAGCAACTGTAAGAAACAAGAAGCAATACAGAGTAAAATGGGAATTGAGACAACAAAAAATCAGAACTGTTAAAGCTTTTTTATATTCTTTATAAAAAGGGAGCACATCATTCTTACAGTAAGCTTAAAGGGAAAAGTAAAAGGGTATTACTTTCTGTTCGAAGTACAGTGGAATCCTCTTTTGCCGGAAGCCAGTTAACCCCGAACGTCTGGTAAATCAAATAAAACCCCCGGCTTCGAATCATTTGTGTTCTTACCTGTTTTAAATCGGCCGGTTGATTCGGACAAAAATCTGGTTACTCCTGGCAAAATGCCGCGCCGGTCACCACTGAATGTACTCACTCGGGCCTTCAGTGTGTCCATTCAGCCATGAGGGGCTCCCGGTATGGATGGGAGGAGTCTAAGATTGATTGACAGTGGACTCCAGCCATTCACAAGCGGCTGAAGTTGGGCTGTCAATTAGTGAGGGGGCGGAGTAACAGGGAAGAGCAAGGGAGGGAAATATCATGATTGACAGCTGAGCCGCTTGTGAATGAGTAGAGCCCAAACATTCACAAGCAGCGACGGGCTGTCAATCACCTCAGGCCACCGCCAATTAGCCCCGTTCCTGTCCGTTGGGAACGGCAATGGGAGGGAGGAAGCTCCTCTGCTGGTATTTTGCAGCCAAATTAAGGAAAATATATTTTACTGAATACTGTGAGGCACAGGATTTTAACTTTAATTTCTAGGTTAAAATACTTGGGAGTCCTGTTTGGTTACTTAACATGACTTCAAGTGAAACAATATTATTCCACATTTTTCTACGACATCTGTGGGGCTCCTCTGCTGGGCGGGAATGGTATTTCAGTTAATCTCGAACATCTCTTAAACCGGACAAAACGGCTTAACCGGCTTCCACTGTACTTCCTCCAGCTGTATTAAAAAATGTATTAGAACATGGAGAATAAAATAGATATATTCTAGCTTTATGAAATATTCCTGAGTTTCAAGGATCAGCAATAACTTGCCTTCTACTCAGGTAATGGATATTATGGAAAAATCAATGTACATTCTGAAGCCACTCCAAATCACCAGCCTGGGAGCAGAGTACCAGCTGAGGGTTTGTTGTTACTTGCTGGTATTAGACTACAATTTTAAAAGGCTAGATGGTTCTAAATTAGCTAATATTTATCATATGCTAATATGCATTTCACACAACTTGAATTTAATAGATTATAGTCAAAGCTTCATTGCTAACTTAGCTCTGCTTTCTTGATTCCGGATGTACCACTCACTGAGATTTGAAAACTTTTTTTGTAGTATATAGATTCAAAGCTCATATACAAATAAGATGCTAGTATATGTGTTAGTAGAGATCAACTTCATTACATTAGGTTTAGATATATTCTTTAATTATCAGTAAAGCCCTTTAAAATACATCAAATGTACTTGAATACTTTTTCTTTTTTGATGCACTACCACAGATTTTTTTTAAAAAAATTAAGGTATAGGAGTGGGGGTTAAGTGGGTTGGAGGCTTGTATGGAGTATAAACACATGCATGGACAAGTTGGGCAACATGACCTGTTTCTGTGCTATAACATTCTATGAAATTCTAAATAGCCCCTTAACAACAGGAATCTTTATTAAGACCATAATCAATTTGAGGCTCATGGGGAATGGGGGGGAGGAGTGGAAGAATCCTGAACACTAGTTGATTGCTTGCAAATAGAAGATTTTGCACCTAAAATATCTATCACTATCTCTACTGACTATTTGTAATGACACTAAGCACACATAGAAAAAAATACTACTTACCGTACATTGCAAAGCCATGGAAAGGAATCACCCCTGTGCAGAATAAGTATATTTAGTTCAAATTTGGCAAATAATAGGCATTTCTTATATAGGCTATTAGATTTGCCAATATTTTTTGGCAATCTAATTATTATTGTGAAAGCTCAATATATTGCAGACAAACGTTTCTCTGATTATTGATGGTCACTTTAGCATAGAAATATGACATGATATCACTAGTGAAACAATCTTGCACTCCTTCCCCCTTCCCCTGGATATTGATTAATATTGTTTCTTTGACCTAATTATTAGTGGTATCACTGTTGATATAGTCCTCATTTCCCCCTTCCCCACTGACATTAAAAGCTAGAAACATAGTTTTGAGTCTCATTCAGAGAGGTTACTAGGATGGCTGGCTTGGATATTTAGATTGCAATTAAAGGGCAATACTGGAGCTTTACTTTAGATCCAATCAGTGCAATACCTATGTGAAGAGTAACTGATATAGAAGCCGGATGCAAAAAGTGTAAATATCCTCAATACTGTACAACAGAAACTAAGACCCAAAAGGAAATGGAGACACAAAACCGTGTGGAAACCAAAATGGAAACACAAAAACTATTGTAATCATTAAACACAGCTGCCACTAGAGGAAGCTCTTCGATCATACTTACCATTCGGTGGGTAGACCACAGCATAATCTTCAAGTCCAAGTTTTCCTATATAAAAAAATCAATAGCATGAAAATTGTTGATTAAAAAAAATTACAGCTAGGCTGGCTTTTTTTCTTGAAAGTAACTGTACTTAGGGCATCCATTAGTCATTTAATCTTTTTCACACTTCATGAAAGCTTGAAATTTTCAGAGTGCCAGTATACCAAATTAATCACTAAACTTTTGATCAAAACATCATAAACATGTTTTCTAAAAGTATGGTAAATCCCAAATACAACTGTTTTTTTAAACTACTTTTATTTTTCCCTGTTTGTTAGGATACACTTTCATTTACAAATGCAAACTGAATTTTCAACAGTGAAGTGTCACCTCTGGAAAAAAACATTTAAAGTAAATGAAGAGGAAAGTTTGATTCAGTGCTGGACTTCATATCCTGACAACCAAAGCACAGGTTTTCAATTACTGTACATTTTGTACATATGTCTGCAATAAATTTCTTACCTCGAATATATGACCTAGGTGGAGAAGCGCTGCTGTAGCTGAAATGATCAAGAACCATTGTATCTCGAGAAAAGCAAAGTAGAACCTACGAAGGAAGATAAAAGCATGTTTTATATTCTTTAAATGCTTTTGCCTCATCTCATGACACATAAAACTCCACAAAAATAATGATCAGACTGAAGATAGCTAAAGACATATCATGCCTTTGCCTTTATTATCCACTTCCAAGTCCTGTAGCTCAGTGGTTAGAGCACTCACTTTGCAAGCGAGAGTCCTGGGTTCGATTCCCGACAGGGTGAAACCTTGGGCAAGTTTCCTTACTCCACACGCCTGATAATAATCCCTCAAGAAAAAACAATAATAAATTGGTCACTTCAATCCACGACTATTTGTGGGACACTGCTGTGCGCAATGGGCTGCCTCATTTCACCCACAAATCTACAGTCAATTCACTTTGCAGTATATTCTGTGAAGCGCTTTGAGACGTCCAGAAGACGTGATAAGGCGCTTGATCAAATGCAAGGATTACTATTATTCCTGACATACTATTCAGATATGTCAAATATCTCCAGTATTCTATCAATTAAAAGTAAAAATGTCATGAAGAATAGGTCTGTCTTCTTCCAAATAGTTAATTAAAAAATTGAGTACGGCAGTGTTAAGCTTTCCTGTCAAGGGAAAACCTGCTTTCAATTCATTCCACTGTTTTTAGTCAGTTGTCATTTAGTGATGTGAGCTTCAGGTCCTTTCTGGTGTCCTGGACACTGAACACATTCACATCAGTACTGGCAAGGACCACTATTCTAAATAGAATCGTACTTGAAGAAATATTCAAATAACCAAAATATCTCTTGTGGGTTACTGGATAATTCCCAAAGCACAGATGTTCAGAACTGAGGATGCATTTGCAGTCACTTGTAGTGCTGTTGGAGCAGGCCTTGCAGGCGAAAGCCTGCCTGTGCAAAATAAGGTATGTCTTTTTTCCAGTCTGAATCGAAAGCAAAGTGAAGATCGGAGTATAAAGAGGGCCTCCTCCTCCGCAATGCTGTACTGAGGCAGTGGAGAGTTCACTTTTGACTGTAGAAACACTGCACAAATGTACATTATAGTTCTCTGCAACTCTCATCATGCAGCTAACAGTGATTGAAATTCAAATTAATGGCCCATAAATTCATTTGGACAACTAAATATTGCTTTCAATTTTAGGAAAATACTCAATATAATTTTGTGGTGCTCAGATTAACAGCACTAGAAGCAACTATCGCATATTTGAGACGGAAATTATTTTCCTTAACAATTACAATTTACAATAGTTTATAAAATGCAAAGGGATAAATGCATGAATTGGTTTTATGATTTCACATTTCATACTAATAAAGGAGGTGTGCTGCTTTGAACCCTATTTAATTCAGCAGCAAGAGATTATAACCATTCATACCATGCAGTTGTATAAACTTGAAATATTTTTCACAAAATACTTCCACATCAAATTGCATTTTTCCCAGACAGTTGTCTGGATAACACTGGAATAGACTGAAATAAAAGAACGAATTGGGGAGAAATGAATGGGGCAGTTTTAAAAGATAAACATTTGAACAAAGGTCAAAGAAAGATTATAAATAAAGCATTAAAATCACTCTAAGAAGAATATTTACTCAAGACCCAATTGTTAATTGCTGGTTGTTACAATAAATAAGAGGGACCTCCTCCTTCTCCTCTGCTGCAGTCAATGACTCATTCTTTCAATAGTTAAATGAGTGCCAGGTGCCTTTCAGTACCTTGCCCAGCAGGCCATTCTTTGTGTGCAAGTTTAATGATGAATGTCAGGAAACGACTGAACCACAGTCGCCATCATAACAAATCCCAATTCTGCCCTCAGTCGTGTAGTTTTCAGCTTGGTCACTGGATAGCAATCAGGGTGAGAATGTTGTCTGAATGTTTGCTCTGTAATGCAGAAAACCTATGGCTAAATATAACACCGCTAATACTGTGTGATCTCAGATTTGGACACTTCTAGGTTTGAATAGCTGTACCCTTCGGCAGTAATTTGGTTTAGAACTTAAGACTGTTGGTTCCTAAAAAAAAAAGTTTTTTTTTTAAAAAAAGGTACTTTCATATCACATCACTATTAACAGAATTGCAACCTCAAACTGTCACGAACAGCCACTTGGAAATTTCACTGCAGTTAATACAGATCTGCAACCACAAGTGTAATGAACCGACAGACATAAGAACCAACAGACACATAATCTGTGATCATGAGAGGTTCATTGTTATACCCACATGTGAATTAGGTGGATAACTGCTCTCTCACAATCAGTATTTATGGTTTGGAGGCTATTAAACATGTAAAAACTATTAAACAGGAAAAATTAAGAGGATTAAACAATATACTGCTTAATAAAATTGACAATTAACCTCTCTAATAATGATGCAGAATTTGTAAGGAATCATTTTTGAAATTTTTTTTATTGTGCACTTTTGAAATGAGCTTTTCAATTTTATTTTATTACCAAAAGTAATACCCAACGTGTAGTCATCTTAAAGGAATCAACATTTTATATTTATTTGTGATGCTTGGAAGAAACATGAAAGGAAAACGCAGAATAACGGTGGCTAAAGTATTACTGAATTAATGAATTAAAGATAGGTTGGAAAGCTGAGAACTGAGTGAAAGAGATGAAGACTAGTTTAACAAAATTACTAAAATTAAAAAAAAACATAAATTCCAGAAACTTATTTTGCGACCAAGATGAGCTGAAGGAAAGTCACACAAACTCTAAAATATTTATTATCTTTTTCACTCGTACCATTTAGGCTGCGACAGACAAACAAGGCCTATAGTGGTCAGATATTTTGAGACTGCATTCAATTCTAAATCTTTACACGAAATTGCAATCTTTCCACTTGATGAGAATTTTAATGAGAAGACTCTGCAATGCCCCTCAGGGGGTTAGCAATTTTAAAATACTGAGATCCTGTAAATACAGGCCGCAGGTGTTGGATAAGGAGCAATCAATAATCATATATACTCTTCGTCTGTTCAGAAAAGACCAACGACAAAAAGAAATAAAATGAGCTAAAGCGGAAAAAACCTTTACAAAAGGTGGCAGTAGGGTTATCAACATATCCATTTTATTCAGCATGCCTGCTTATTCATCCGTAGTGGCAAAGAGGCCTACTCAATCCACGACTGTTTGTGGGACACTGCTGTGCGCGATTGGCTGCCAAGTTTCACTCACAAAATATACAGTCAATTCACTTTACAGTATATTCTGTGAAGAGCTCTGAGACGTCGCAAAAATGTGATAAGGTACTATATCAAATGCAAGGATTATTGTTATTATTATTACTCATACCAATAGCACAAAATCATACAAACTTTGCTCTGAAATTATAAGGATCATTAAACACGATTTAGTAAAGTAGGAACAAGCTATGTAATGCACTCAAATATCAGCCTGATTCTATGATCCTCCACAAATATCTCCCTTCATCACTCTTAAAAACCTCTGTATCAGAAAGTGAATGGGTTCAAGCCCCATGTTAGGACTTGAAACTCACAATCTAGGCAGTCAATGTAATGCAGTGCTGGAGGAGCGCTACATTGTAATAGGTTGTCAAGACTCTTCAAAGCACTTCACACAATGTAGTGTAAAATGTGTTTCACTGTGTATTTAGTGCACAACAGCAAATTGAACACAGAAATATCCTACCAAACAGCCATGAAGTGAATGAGTAAGACACCAGGAATGAGTAAGAAGCTTTTATGAAGATCATAACTTGCTTTTGCAAAAGTTAACAATAACATACGTTAAAAATGACCTTGGAAGAACCTATTTAAAAATTGTGATCTTTGAAAAACAATGCGAAACATGAAGCAGAAATCTAAACTGTTCTACAATTTTTCAGCATTTCAACTCGCAAGATTTTCGACTAAATTTCCTGTAAAATAATTAGAGCTGAAATAAGAATGATATTTCTTTGCGCATCTTGGCCTTCACCGAACTCAGAATTCACTGAAAAAGTTTCAACTTACCTGATACAAGTAATCTTCAAACACAAAATAGTAATCATCATTACTTGCTGTCAGCTTCACATCCTGGAGGAAAAGAAGGGAGGGATAAATGTCAGAAAGTAACTCCATTTACCTGTATCTCTTGCAAAAAAATTACTGTATTTTGTTTTTGAGAAAGAAGACGAAACAGGTGAAAGTTTGCACCAATCAATGGAAAGGATGTCAAATGTTCTTTCTGCTCCAAACATTCCTTAAGCTTTCTTTTGTAGTCTTTCTACTAATTGTAGCAGCTTTGAAGATTTAGAATGGGATTTCCTCATTATAATTTTCGAGGTGTGCATAAATTTTACTCAAATATTTCACAGTAATTGCATTGTAATCTATACTAATAAAACGACAATGTCTGTCGTGTCTGACTGTGTGTGCTTCAAGAAGGATTGCAATAACCGATTGAGGTAGAGATATAAGTTATACATCATCGGAAAGGTCTTGTCTCTAGGAGTGACATGGGCACATTTGTTTTTAGGTATCTCCTATCGGTCATGAGTTATGACCTAAAATGTATTTCAGTATTGCACTTTCATTTCAGTTACACCCAGTGGCTACTGAGTCAAAGTGGCTCTGTGGATCGTGCAGGCGGCCACGCCGGCTGACCAAGTAGCCAAGTGGCGGCGGGACAAAATAAAGAACACAGACAAAGCTAACCTGCGACATCAACAACAACATTACATTTGAAAAGCCCCTTTCATGTCGGGAGGACGTCCCAGTGATTATAAATTATACATTTATCATTATAAAGATGTCTAAGCAAGAATCAAACCTCTCAAAGATAAGTAAAAATCCTCGATAAAAGAGAGAAGGTCCATTAAATGAAACCGAAGAACAAAGAACAGCTCGGCCTCACTTCAATGCTGAAAGGACTGCAATAGCATGACAAAATGAGTTGCCCACTCAAAGAACAGCATGACCAAAATGAATGCTCCCACAGTAATCCTCCCAGATGAGTATAGATAAAGATGAAATGTCTGTCTATGTATCTGTCTGTGTCAATCTACATTCTATATTGGATCCTTTGGTTGCAAGCGTAGCTGCAACGGGTACAGCTAGTTTTAAATAAGAGCTCAGCAATGTTATACATCTATCAGGCCTCCGTGTATCATTTTTTTTGCAGGAAACACTGCATAATTTAGAGTTCAAATGTGAAAATAAATGGCAACACATTGGAGATTGCAACACTGTGACATGGGGAACCTCAGAGATGAACAAATTAAACATGAGATATTTGCAGTCCACAAGCAAATTGTCACAGTAATAATGCAATGGTTCGTACTAATAAGGTTACTTTTGAAATTAATTAACACTCAGCCCACTTTAATCAATTATTGGACGTGAATAATTAATGCTAAACATGCTAATTTTTATAGAAGACTGAGCAGCTGTTGCCAAGTCACCCACTGTGCAAGTGATTCAAAGAAACTTGTAATAAGATAATCAATCTGTCTGTGAGAAGGGTACACCATTCAGAATCTCAATTTCTATGGGATTTTTATAAAGAAAATTGCTTCCACTAAGTGTCCTGCAGGCAGGGGGAAAAGAATTTGCAGTTTTATATTACCGTATTAATTTCAAACGTCTCAAGTAGTTCAGAATAATAATCCTTGCATTTGATACACTTCCTTTCGTGTCAGGCAGATGTCTCAAAACATTTCATAGGATTCACTATGAAGTGATTGACTGTATTTTGTAGGTGAACACTTCAGAAGTCAGTATTTGTAGGGAAACCCAACAGACATTTACCTAGAGAACTATTGGTCAGGATATCAGAAGAAACTTTTCTTTTCTAATAGTGTCATTGGATTTTAACCGGCACCTGATAAAGTGAACAGAACCTCAGGATAAGTTCATCTAAAAGATTCCATTGCAGTGCATCTTCATTTCTGCAACCGAGCATCAATCTACGGGGCTTGAACCCACAACCTTCTGGTCCAAGTGAGAGTGCTTCTAACAGAATCAAATTGACATTGTCAGTGCTCCCATCAGACCATTTACAATATTCCCTACTATTGGTGATATTCTTTAGACTCCACAGTGTTGTAAAAAATAAATTAAACAAAGTAACAAAGTAACAGAATACTTACAAAAATAAGACCATTTGTAGTTTGTCAAATAGAGAACAAGAACTACAAATCAACTTCTTATGGTAAATTTCTGTGATTCATTCCTTTTGGGACTTCAGCTAACCCAACCCTGTCTGGCCAGATTAATGAGAGTGAGGGGGAAAAGAGTAAAGAGTTGGGCCGGAGGGAATCTATACGCAGACCCGTGGAAATTTTTAAAAACATTTTTCAGTCTCGGGCTCGGTCCAGCTAGGTACGAATTCCAGATACCGGAGTCCAGTAAACCAAAGGTTTACCGTACATGAAATACTCAATTTTTTAATAAAATATCTTTCAATTACATTTCACGATTTTTCAGGGAATGTCTCTTGTAAACAAGTGAGAAACCTAAAACCTACACCAAATACTGTGTTAGGCAAACTCAAACTCTGCCCATAAGCAATCCCACACTCTTTTACTTAGTGTTATAAAAGAATTTGCTCTGCAGGAATTGTAAAGCGTTGGTCTGACCAATGGTACATGTAAATAACCCGCCTAACTTATATTGAAGACATCTCAATGACCTGAGAATGTACTATATCAAATGCAAGGACTATTACTATTATTATTTATTTCTTGACACAATTGAAATTCCGTAAGATAAATTCATTCAGTTAATATCAATAGCCGAATGCTACAGAGACTGGTGTGCTGGGGAAGGCATCCTGATAAACTTTTAAGTGCAAATTTACAAGATTAATTAGGTTATCAGAATATAATGTGTACAAAACACCCAAGATAATGTATGTAACACATATGTAGAGTATGAGCAATATGAGGGTCCATCAACTGCAACTATGGTTAGAAATCAGGTCAACCTCCAAAGCAGTGGCGGTCAGCAGTGGTCCAGCTAAAGATAGCCAGAGGAAGCTCTACATTCAAGAGTGGGACGAATTTGGAGCACACCTCTAAGAGCTGAAGGACTCAAATATTTCTCTGAGATAAAGAAGGAGTCAGAGCACTCAAGAGTATTCCTACAAGAACAAGGGGGATTCTGACCTAAAACTGACTTCAGCTAGGAGATGCATTATAAGTGTTCAGTTAATTGTTTATAATGATTTGTTATTACCACAAAACCAAATTCTGTTACATACAGTTTTTCATCATTTCTAACAAGGACAAAAATAGATTTTAATTAAGATTATAGAATTTCATACCTTGTAGATGAGACTGTCAACCAAAAGGTCGTGTTGAATCACGTTTGATTTCAGCTGGTCATAATATAAAGAATCCTGCAGATATGTAAAAGTAAAATGTTTACTTCAAACTTCCTCACATGTAAATGAAAGAGCTGTTCTGTAGACATTGCTAAAATAAACTTTAAAGTGAAGACAAAAAATAGACCAATATAAATATAAATAGACCAATAAAACTGTACAATTGTGGTGTGTGAAGAATAGCTCATTTTCAAGTTATATAATTTGATTGCAATCCCATATCTGACCAATCTTGCATTACAATGCAATTGTGTGCCCTTCACACTTGAAAACACTGTCCTTTCTTCATTGTAGTCTCAGCACTAAGTACAACTACTGATAAAAGTGTATAATATAAACCCAAACTATGGAAACACAATTATGGAAAAAGATCGCAGATGAAAGCTCTATGAATTTAGAAAACTAAAACTTCAGATCATGAGAATGCCTCTTCATTATCGGCAGAAACCAATGAATTAATATGAACATCTGGTTTCAACCAGAACACACTTTAATTGTGCGAAATTGCTCACGGTGCTTGGAATAGGATCCTATTTCGACAGTTTCTTCCCAATACATTTTAAAGAGGGGCAGAATAACAATCAGAAACAGATGCATAACTCAATCCTATATTTCAAAAGTAAATGGATGGCTAAATAAATTATTTATCTAGCCGAATGAACGTTTTCTTCAATGGGTATTTAAAAAGCTGAACATTTAATATATGGAATAAAATATGCTTCATAGTTTGTTTTCTGCAGCTGATCACCCATACAGCATCTGGGTAATTAATAGTTTGTCTTCTGTATATTTTATTAATCACGCATAGAAATGTATAACATATTAGGAGCCCATTCGGCCTACTATTTTGTGTCAGTGGCTGTTCATTCAAAAAAACATCCATTCTAAGCCCAATCCTCTGCTCTTTCCCTGTAAAGTACCTCTAATACCCTTCATCTGCCTGTCAAATTCTTTTTTAAATGCTCCAATCAAATCTGATCTAAAAGCCATCCCTTGCAAATCATTCCTTAAAACTCTCTGGGAGAAGAGATTCTTTTGAATCTCTTCACAATCTCAAATTCATGCCCTCTTGTAGAAAAAAGCCTCACCAGCAGAGAAAGGATTTCATGATTAATTCTCTCAACCCTGTTCATTATCTTAAATGAATTCCCTACTGGTCGTTCCAAGTACTGCCAATGAGCCAGGTTGGCTGGTCCGTTATCAGCAGTGCCCTGGATTATTGTGGAGCCACCTGGCTCAGGAAGCAGAGAACTGAGACCGCCACAAAAGTTTGACTCGATCATGACAATCCATTGCCAGGCATGTCATGTTAGACAAAACGCAAAATACTGCAGATGCTGGAAATCTGAAACAAAAACAGAAGTCGCTGGGAACACTCAGCAGCTCAGGCAGCATCTATGGAGAAAGGAAAGTGAGTCAACGTTTCAGGTCCACAACCCCAGTTCTGACAAAGGGTTGTGGACCCAAAACATTGACTCACTTTCCTTTCTCCATGTCCTTTGAAGCCAGTTCAGCCCCAAAGGGGACTCGCTTACCTCCCCTCGAGGAGGGTTGGTCACTAGACATCCGACAAGACTAACTGACAAATATAATAGATACTGAGAAGAGATATTGTTTTCTGCAGCTGATTACTGTACAGTATCTGGCTAACTAAAAGCAATTAAAGACAATGTAGAAGAGATATGAAAGTAGAAGGTTTATCAAGGCAGGAAGAGAAGTTGTGGGATGAAGGACGCAAATGAATAATTTTTGCTCAACATTGTCACTCACAGATTTATTAAAATGTTGAGAATGGAATCATTGTCCTAATCTGCATAGATCATGGTCTGAAAACTGTTAACCAGTCAATATTAGTCTAAATTTCTACCTCCAAGATCACAGTCAGTAGCAGAAGGAAGTATCACAAAACACACAATATTGGGGTTGAACACTCATGGGATAATTCTGAAAGAGCAGAAGTAGCAGAGTCCAGTGAGTGGCACATGAGTATGCTTGACGTTCAAGAAACTGTTCTCTGGACTCCACTACCTTTATGTTGCAGCTTGCCCGGTTCTGTGCAGATAGCAGCACGGAATTTAAATGCACAGAATGGGTGACGTGCTTAACTACTAGACACCATGAGCAAGAAAAGATAATGTCAGATCTCAGTGTTTGGACCCGCATAGCCATGCTAGAACGAAGAACGAAACAAGGTGTATGCAACATAGTCAGAAAGCCTTTCCAAAAGTTTCAGCATTTTTGCCTTCCATGTTTTAAATGTTCACTATTGGTGCAATAATTAGTCAACTTAACCTTAAGAAAAAAGGGGAGGAAAGGTTATCTATCCAGATATATTAAAAAAAGAGTTTTTCGACTTTGACCTTATCTTGGTCAACGCCAACCTACAGGTCTCTTTGTGAATTAAATGCAAGAGCAAACAATTTAATCATATTCTACAGAGGAATACAAGCACCAGAATTCTGCATAAGAATTGTTAAGTTCATAGAATTTAAATTGATTCTTTGTTTATGCTGAATAAGTGGTTTGACTGAGAAAAAAAGTATGCAATAAAACAGAATATTATATAATGTTATACTATTATATCGAAATTGAATTCTCACACAATTATGGTTCATTAGTTTTCACACACATTGTATTTTCAACTACTTCACCCTAATAGACTGCTGTTAAGTATTCCCTTTGTGACTGTTGTAATACAGTAGTTCTGAGTGAAATCGGTTCAAAAAGTCTCAAAACAGTTATCCTTGTAACTAACCTTCATTAATTATTGTACCTGAAAAATGACTCAAGCCAAATTGATATGATGCACTCAATTAATGGGGGGAGGGGTAGAGGGAGACATATTACATTTATGTTGATTTTCCTTGCCAGAGGACATTCTGGATTCTTCCTATTAACAAAAACACATCTTAGTTTATTTTTTTGAAGAATTCTGTAAAATAGTGAGGGCATGGAGGCTATTTGACCAAAGGGGCAATAGCAATCAGGAGCGGAAAACCTAGCTAATTTTTGCACTTCCAAGCCCATTGCACCTCAATTGCTTCCCATCTTGGAATACCTTGCTCAGCGTACATCAGCAATTCAACCCGAATTTGTGTGATGGTCCTACATTAGTCGTGTCTTTGCTCACTAGGACATCAGCAAAGCTCCAAACAGTAATAACTAAATACCGACCAAAAATGATTAACGTAGCCTTGAATAATTTTAAATTCTTTTTATTATTTATCCATTAGTTGTTAAGTTAAACAATTCAAATATTTAGTTCTCAGGAGATCAAAACAGTGTCAGGTGCCTCTGTGAATATGACCAGATGGGTCATACTTTTCGATTATGCAGTCACTTTTCAAAGGAGAATCTATGACAACCCATCCAACCAAAAAGCAGAGAAACTGAGATAAATGTTTGCCTTAGTTGCTAAAAATAGCTTCTACCTTCTTCCTATGGTTAGGACAAAGATTGGAGTTGACAATAGTTAGGTCTGCGCTTTTATTATAAATACATCAGTTTAGCCGTAATTTTCTTCCTGCAAGTTGCTACATGTATGCGTATTTATTTTGTTTGCTATTACTGTACAATGCCCCAGGTCATGGCCACTGATGTAACGAAGAAAGCATGTTCAAAGGAAAGGAAGCACTTTTAAGATCTCTCATGTCATAAAATTATTCATTAGTTTGGTGTACTTGCAGTCTGTGACAATTAAAAATAAACACAACAAAATAAAATAGAGTCTAAACTGCGAATATCTTGAACAATACACTTGATTAAAAAACAACCACAACAACAAGGAAACTGTTGGGATTGAAAAGTGACAATTCCCTTGGACCTGATGGCCTGCATCCTAGGGTTTTAAAAGAGGTGGCTGCTGAGATAGTGGATGCCTTGTTTTTGATCTTCCAAAATCTCTGGATTCCCATTGATTGGAAGATCGCAAACATAACACCACTATTTAGGAAAGGTGGTAGAGAAAAGATGGGGAATTATAGACCAGTCAGTCTGACATGGGTGGGAGGGAAAATTCTAGAACCCTTAATTAGGGACATCGTAGTGGGATACTTAGAGGACTGTAACATGAATAGGCAGAGTCAACATGGCTTTACAAAAGGAAAGTCATGCTTAACAAATCTTTTAAGAGTTTTTTGAGGATGTAACTAGCAGGCTAGATAGGGGGGAACCAGTAGATGTAGTATATTTAGATTTTCAGAAGGCATTCGACAAGGTGCCACACAAGATTAGGGCCCATGGAATTAAAGGCAATATATTAGCACGGATCGAAGAGCGGCTAACGGAAAGAAAACAGAGTAGGGATAAACGGGACCTTCTCAGATTGGCAAGATGTGACTAGTAGAGTGCCACAAGGATCAGTGCTTTGGCCTCAACTCTTTACAATCTATATCAATGATCTAGATGAGGACATAGAACTTAAGATATCTAAATACGCGGGTGATACTAAGCTAGGTGGGAGAATAAGCTCTGAGGATGACACAAAAAGAATACAAAGGGATATAGATAGGCTAGGTGAGTGGGCAAGAAGGTAGCAGATGGAACATAATGTGGAGAAGTGTGAAGTTATTCACCTAGGTAGTAAAAACAGAAAAGCAGATTATTTCCTAGAAGGGGAGACACTAGATAGCGTTAGAGGGATTTGGATGTCTTCGTACACCATGAAAAGTTAGTATGTAGGTACAGCAAGCAACTAGGAAGGCTAATGGCATGTTGGCGTTTATTGCAAAAGGGTTAGAATACAAGAATAGGGAAGTTTTGCTGCAACTGCATAGGGCCTTGTTGAGACCGCACCTACAATATTGCGTGCAGTTTTGGTCTCCTTATTTAAGAAATGACATACTCACCTTAGAGGGGTGCAGCGTAGATTCACTAGGTTAGTTCCTGGGATGAGGGGGTTGACCTATGAGGATAGGTTGAGTAAACTTGGCCTATATTCTTTAGAATATAGAAGAATTAGGGGTGATCTTATAGAAACATATAAGATTCTTATGGAGCTTGACAGAGTAGACGGTGCAAGACTGTTTCCCCTGGTAGGAGAATCTATAACTAGGGGTCACAGTCTTAAGATTAAGGGACAGCCCTTTCGAACAGAGTTGTGGAAACTTCTTCACTCAAAGGGTAGTGAATTTATGGAATTTTCTATCCCAGAAGGCTGTGGATGCTCAGTCCGTGAACATATTCAAGACTGAGACTGATGGATTTCTAAAGGATAGAGGAATTAAGGGATATAGGGATAAGGCGGGCAGATGGAGTTAGGTGAGAAGATCAGCCCTGATCTTACTGAATGGCGGGGCAGACTCAAGGGGCCAAATGGCCTTCTCCTGCTTCTAATTCCTATGTTTCTAACTTTATTTAACTAGCGCCCCTCACACAGGGTAACATTCCAAAGCACTTGACATTGGCAGACCACGATGCTGAGCCAGGGGAGGCGAGTTTCGGGGTTTAGTGGCTGAAAGCACGACCTCCAATGGTGGAACAGAGGGCATGAGGGACATGCAGGAGACTGGAGCCAGTCGAGTGGAGGCAGCAGGTAGTGGGTTTGGGAGTAAGCAGGTCGGAGGGGTAGGGGTTGCCAGAGCATGAAGGGATTTGAAAACGAGTGTGAGGATCTTGAAGTCGATCTGTTCAGCGATAACCTTGCGGATATCTCCACTCTCCTCCCACCCCTCTCCCTCTGCACAAAACACCTTCTCATAATGAGCAATTTCAATTCCTCCTGCCCAATCTCCTCTGACTTCGCTGCCCTCCTCTCCACCCTAAACCTCACCCTCCACGTAAACTTCCTGATCCACAACTGTGGCTACCTCCTCACCTTCGTCATCACCCATAGGCTAGACATCACTGTTCTGTTCATCACAGACAAGGCCATCTCAGATCACTTCCTCATCCCTCGCTGCACTCATATCACCCTCCCTTCCTCCAAGCCCTCCACCTTTGTTTTCCGCCCATGGAAAAAGTTTCCACCCAATTCCTTCACAAATGCCCCCTCATCCTCAGACCTTCTCTCCCTCTGCCTTCCACTCATAGTGATCCAGAAGTGGCCGTCAAGTTGCTAAATAATCACCACACCTCAACTTTCAATTCCCTCTTCCCGCTGAAAACCAGGTGCGTCTCTAAGCCTACCCGTTCCACGTAGTACGACAGTCACCTCCACTCCTTCAAATCCCAAACCAGGTCACTGGAGTGCAGATGGTACAAAACGTTTCACTGCCAAATGCGGCTCGAGCAACTTCACACCTACCACCGCTCCCTCTCTCAAGCCAAAACTGCTTTCTACTCGCAGGTAATTCTCTAACCCAAAAATAATCCCAAAATTGTGTTCTCCACAACCCAGTACCTCCTCCACACCCTCGATCCTCACTTCAGATGCCAAGTACTGGCTGCCCTCTGCTTTTTCGTCCACCTGGACCTCTACGCCGTGTTCATCACAGTAATCCATAGTATAAATGAACAATGTAACTAAAAGAGGAGGTGAATCCTGTTCCAGTGCAGCTTTGCTATTTAAATAAGATGCTGGATGATAAACACCTTTTTTAAATAAAAGGTATCAGGACTTTTTTGGTTCTGTATCCATCATGTTGTTCATAACTATCAAAAGCACATCTATGCTGTGGCAAACATCGAGAAGGCATTTTGGTATTTCTACAGTGAAAAGCATTGTGAAAAGCAGATGTCGAAACTGCAGCACATGATATTATCACAGGTGATAACCAGCACATCAACCAAAAAATAGTTAAAAGCACTCAATAGTTGGCTAAGAGCTCAGAAGCGAAACTTTGAAGTGAAGAAACTCTGTTTTTAACCTCAATGCTAATTTAATTCTGCTTGGTATCACATAAGATCTATTTCAGTAGGTTAGCAAACATCCCAAATTACATCGAAGGACATAAAAATGTGTCAACTTATCCTTTAGTTTGTATGTTACTTTGAATTTGACACATGTGACAGTCTCAACAGCCTACATCAGCACTTTTGAGCCAAAAGAATAAAGGCACTCAATCCTGAAACATTGCATATTAAAATGCAGTGACACCTAGCAATGGTGAACAAGATCCAGGAAGGTACAAAGACATGCTGCACAAATGGGTTTCATATCTGTCAGTGGAAATTATTTACTACTTTACCAAGATTCTGAAAAGGGAGTGAAACCAGTGGTCACTTACCTCCATTTGATTGCTGATGTTTAAAATGAGAGCCCACGTGTCAGCACGCAGGCCTGTTGGGCAGCCTTGGCGAATGTACTGTTGAGCTGCAGCACTGTCTTGTTCAGACAAAACTACAGGTGAACAAAGTATTAACATCGTAAACTGGAAGCTGCACAAGATCTATTTTAATATGTTATGGCAGTACAGTATTCGTTTCTAATAGAATGATACATAATTAGGGAACTGTAACAAGCCAGCCACAGGCTCTTAAAACACTAAACTTGTGTAATCACAAAGCACTTCAGTATCGTAAGTAAAGGAAATTAATTAATCTTTGCATTTTTGTAGTGCCTATAATATTGAAACATCTCAAAATGTTTCACACTAATTACTGTCAAATGCAATGACCTTTTTTGGTAGGTAACCACACAGTTGGTTTGCAAACAGCAAACCCTTACAAATCTATCCTTTAGTTTGTGCGTTACTTTGAATTTGACGCATGTGACAGCCTCTTTTGATTATGCTAATTTAATTCTGTTTGGTTACGCATAAGATCTATTATAGACAATGGCCAATTAATCTAAGGAATTATTGGCTAGGAAACTAAAATAAACTCTTCTATATTTGAATATTTTCCCAAATAATGAATGTAGCATCCTAATTTTTAGCTCAAGTCCCAATGTGGATGTTAATTTCACAACTTTCCAACCAAGAGGCGAATATGTTAACAATCTAGGATAGGAGTTGTACCAAGATAAACGTGGATCAGCAGAAGGCACTTGATAAGGTGCCACATAAAAGATTGGTTGAGAATATTGAGACACATGGTATTAAAAAGTAAATGGGACGAAATAGAGGTTCTGAAAGATAGAGACAGAGAAGAAGGGTAACTAGGTGTTTCTTAGATTGGCTGTTAATGTCAGAGGGGTGCATCAGAGATACGTGATGGGATCACTATTGTTGTCAATCTATAATAATGATTTTGAAATAGGACTGGGGGAACATTTTGACAATGTGAAGTAGCACAGGTTTTTGGGGAAAAAAGAACCTAAATATGCCCTAAATGGGATAGTTCTAAATTATATTGTGAAACAGACAGATTTAGGAATGTAGATACATGAATCTTTAAAGGTGGCTGTGCAGTTAGAAAAAGGCAAACAAGGAAGTTTATGGGAGTAAAGATAGATCATTATTCTAGCGTGATTAAACATATTTCATGCCAGACTGTGTAATCCAAGTGAAAATAATAACCATGTTGTCTTCATATACAGGGCAGGCTTAGCACTAGCTGCTGCTATCAAGAGGTGTGAAAAAAGAAGTATTTCATTGCCAAGTGTTGTTTTCTTTCCTCCCTTCCCCAAAGCTAATAACATATAAAAACTGCCTAAAATTAATATCCTACTTCTCCCAACCTTTATAATTCAATATTCCAATATAACAAGCAGGCTCATATGAGTAATCTGAGGTTGACCTACATTTATTTAATCATGAGAAAATTGTCCAATTGGAAATTCTATCAAGAAACTCACTCTTAGTGAGTGCTATAATAATAATTAAGAATACTCTTGGACAGCCTCTCTATAATTGGAGGTTTTCAATTACATCAATCAAAAACTGTTGATTCATGGATGGAAAAGTAATAGAGATCTTTAAGAAATGTTGAATTCATCAACTCTTTCCCTCTATATTCACCATTTTTCAATTTGGCTCTGCTTATAAAATACAGAATTCTCAAAAGCAGGAAAATGAGTAGTGCCTGAACTATCGTTATTAAGCTATGAAAGCCTGCTGCTTGATTGACTCACTCGCGTCTCCACCTTCTTTACGCGAAATGTTTGGCTTCCTTGCATCAGCACCCCCTGAAAATCCTTTCAAATCAGGAACTTGATAAGAGGGGGAAAAAATTCACTAGTCTTTGCAGTCAATAAAACTATTAACTGTTTCCCTGTGTACTCACTCTTACCTTTTTGCCCAAGACGTACGTGGTCACTTTCAAACAAATCTGCAAGAAATCGTTCAGTAAAATTTTGTTAGGTTAGTTAATAACAGAATATTTAAACATTTCCATAGGACTGTTTAACTGATAGCTATACCTCATAATACCATAAGCTAAATTATTTGATATGTAAATCAGTAAACATTGCTTTTATACATAAATGGCTGTAGAAATAATTCTGCAAATAATTCTTTCAAAACAGGACTACTGCATTATGGTCAGTCATATTTAGTGCAAACTATGTTCTGGCAAAGCAAACACTGAAACATAGAATGGACAAAGAGCAAATCACTATCTAAACACAACAACAACAACATTACATTTGTATAGCGCCTTTCACAATAATACAATAATAATAATCCTTGCATTTGATATAGCGCTTTTCACGTCGGGAGGACGTCCCAAAGTGCTTCACAGAACACACTGTAAAGTGAATTGACTGTATATTTGTGGGCGAACGCGGCAGCCAATTGCGCACAGCAATGTCCCACAAACAGTCGTAGATTGAAAATGACCAATTTATTATTGTTTTTTTTGGGTTTTGGAGGGATTATTATTAGGCGTGTGGAGTAAGCAAACTTGCCCAAGGTTTCGCCCTGTCTGGAATTGAACTCAGGTCTCTCGCTTGCAAAGCGAGTGCTCTAACCACTGAGCTACAGGACTCCACTTCATGTCGGGAGGCCAACATGTTGGGATTTTGCAATGAGAATCTATCATTGAGCTTGCAATTATTCTTTACATAAATTCTTCAAGGTGCATGTGCAAAGGTGTATGCATTCACAAATATATGATACAGTGTTTTATATAGAAAGACTGGCACTTAGTGCGTGGGGGAGAAAGGCAAAGTGTGTGGGGAGACAAAGCAGGATTGCTTGTATGTGAGAAAGAGAGAAGACCTGGCATTGTTTTCGTGGGGGAGAGGAGGGAATTTTTCCATGGCAAAGAGAAGTATGTGGGAGAAAGAGAGACAAAGGTTGGCACTGTGTGTAGAGAGGAGCAAAGGAATATGGAAGAGAAGTTCAAAGGCTAGAACTGGATATGTATTGGGTGTGTTCATATGAGACACACACACACAAAGACTGGCATTGTGCATGGAAAGACAGAGAAGGCCTGAAATTCTGTGTGTATGTGTCTGTTTGTGGGCAGAGAAAGGCAGGTATTGTGTGTGTTGAGGAGAAAGAAGAAAAGGCACTGTAGGTCGAGGAGTCTGTGAATGCAGATACTGGATGTGTGGAGGAGACAGAGGACAGGCATTGTGTATCTATGTAGGATGAGAAGTCTGGCACCATGTGTATGGAGGGGGGAGAAAGAGTAAAGTTTGATATTAATGATCAAACTCATTTTATCTAGTTTTCTTGTAAGAGAGATATAAGTTTTATCCACCCACATGATGAAAGCTTATATTCGCTGGCAATGCTCGCACTGACAATCATGTAGTAATGAAGAAAACCCAACATATGTTTACTTTGCCTTTTTAAGCGGACGATAGAAATTTATTTTACCCTGATTTTTGTTTGTTTTTTTGATTTTTAGAGAACGTTGACTACAAAAATGGCTGATTTCCAAAGCGTAAGTTCGCCATGGAGGTCACTTCCTACGTACTGTGGCAACCCAAAAGGTTCCCATTTTATACTTCAAAACTTGATTTGAAAAAAGGGAAAAAGAGTTTAACGATGGGAACTAATTTTCCTTATTTTAGGGAAAATAGGAGAAATTCCAATTATTACCAATTAAAACCAAAGACCAGCAAGCCTAAATATATTCTCCTGTAAATTACAGTAAGCCTAATATCTGTCATTCATCAAAAGCACAACAAATATTCAACAGTTGCAAGGACTTACCAGTGGGGATCTGTATTGAGTCATCTATGCCAAGCTGTCCATAGTTTAAACCAAGTTCAGCAAACAGTTCCCTCTTTGTACAATAAAACAAAATGTCTATTAGACACAACCTGCCTCAACGGAACCTGTTCTAGAGCTTGAGGCAGGTTTACCTCTGCAGTCAAAAATCTTACTGAAGCAAATCCGCAATTCTAATAGTAATGCTTGATTTCTCCAAATAGTGACCTTTGTATTTTTAAAGTCTTTTTTCATTTATTGTTAACGGAAATCACTAATTTCCAAAAACGTTTAAGATAGAAAAATGTTACTTACCAGCTCAGGAAGGCCTTTTACTGGCAAAGGAATGTTGATTAAACCCCAGTTACTGCACAATCCATTTTGATCACCAATATCATAATTTGGATTACGAAGATTAATCAGCACCTAAAATAAGATTTGCATTATCAAATAGTTCAAGCAAAGAGACACAATAAAAAAGAAATCTTGTTTTTGTTCACTATTTTTCACCTACTTCATGTTTCATACAAAATGCCAAAAATGCAATCATGCAGAATGCAATATATCACCTGAAATAACAAACCACTCTATATTCAATGATACAATTGAAGATTAGAAGATTAAACAAAGTGGAAAATTTTACCTCTAAAAAATCTTTAGGAGCATAAACTGGTCGGAATTGGCTCAGATCTAGAAAAGCGCATAAAACACAGGTACATCTTAGATGCTAGTTTTGAAGATGTAGCACAAAAATATAACAAACATTACAAGCTGCGTCATTTACAAGGCAATTTTAAATCTGCATTAACATTTAACAGCTGACGTTCCAGTGTCTTCAGATCTGAAGAATTATGCTGTAGTGCAAAATCAGCTCTATCCATAGCAATTCTATTTAGGTTTATGTGGTGGGGAGGGGAGAGGGGGGCTTGCTTCAGAACAAATCAAACTCTGTTCTAACCTGGAAAAACACAACAGCAGCCAGGTACTGAGGTAGTCCACAATGCTTTCCCAGATCAGATTCCCCCCCTGTCCAATTGATCTGAAATGGATCTACTCCCAAGCATACATGTCTACTGAAATTGTCTGGCAGCTGAGCAGGCAGGTCCCAAGAAATGAAAACTAGATAATTTTGTTATGTAGCTGAGACTCTGATCACAAGGTACTCCCACAACTTTTCTTTCCTTCCAAGTATGGGTACAGTATGCAGCTTGCACATGTCCAGTGATTTGTTTAGTTTTCCTTTAGTTTATTTTTGCAGAGAAAACACTCAATTTTCTGTGGAGCAATTAACTCATCAAAGGTTTCATCAAAACAAATTGTGTTGCACAGTTGTGGAACAGACCATGTACAAGCAGTCTTTGGACTGAGCATTTAGAGAATTTAATACATTTGTTATAAATTTGAAATGAAATAAAAAAGCATACAGTACAGATATTTTAAAAAAATCAGTTCAATGCAAAACTAATTATACTCCTGGCGTGAAAGGCGCTATATAAATGTAATTTTGTTGTTGTTGTTATGTGGCGCCTTTCACATTGGGAGTGCATCTCAAAGTGTTTAGCAGGCTGGGTACCCGAGTTAGAGGTGGGAGCTATTGGGGGGTGTAATATACAATACACAAATACACATTAAGAACAAGATCTAGGTTTGATTCTGGCAGGTCCCAAGTGAAAAGTAGTTGGGACAGTCTTCTGAACTTCCCAGTAGGATAAATAAACAGCAATTAATTGCCCAAAGTTGGGCATTAAAAGGTATTCTCACTATTTAAAAAAATAAGAATAACTAGAGCAGAAAATACAAAGATCAGTATGGTGGGGATCTTCATATTCTTGAGTAGTACGAGAGTTTGCCTGAATTTAAGTCTTGTTTCTATCGACTTATAATAATAATCCTTGCATTTGATATAGCACTTTTCACGTCTTCTCGACATCTCAATGCACTTCACAGAATAGACTGTAAGGTGAATTGACCATATATTTGTGGGCGAAATGCGGCAGCCAATTGCACACAGAAGTGTCCCACAAACAGTCGTGGATTGAAAATGACCAATTAACTATTGTTTTTGTTTTTGGAGGGATTATTATTAGGCGTGTGGAGTAAGGAAAGTTGCCCAAGGTTTCACCCTGCCTAGAATTGAACACAGGTGTCTCGCTTGCGAGGCGAGTGCTCTAACCAATGAGCTACAGGACTCCACTCCAGGACTTGGGATTGTCTGTTGATGGTAGTCAGTGCAATAATGCACAATAACTCCATTTCCCAGAACTGAAATCCTCCACCTTACGCAGAAATAATCATCAGTCCAAAAAACACATTCAGAATTAAGTATATAAAAATTAAGCTGCTTTACCGCACCGCACATTAGCGCACAGCGAACCCAGCTCAGTAGGATCTCATTTGCTCTGCCCCAACCATCTTCCTAACTGCATTACCAGAATTCTATGCTCCCCTCCTTGTGGAGGTGACTTCTTTCATATTCCTTTGTGCTGCCTCATAATCTTCCGGAAAGAAAGTTCTATTTTCCACATAAATCAAAAGACTAGACTCAAAACCATCAGTAATCCCAGATATTATTGGAACTGATGTTGCTGGAACCATACTGCTTTGCATGTAATAAAAAAAAGTAATTATTAAAATAAACTCGAAAGTAAAGATCGAACAAAATAGTTTAAATCACCTACATTGAGACCATTTTTCATAAATATCTGTTAAGTTTCTTTAATATACAAATTATTCAATACTACTGCAGGCAGATCAATGAAGAAAGCTGATAATTATCTTAAAGCTCACTTTTAAAAAATATTAATCAACATATACCTGGTTCATCAGTGCCCATCTCATTCCATTTGTTCAAAAGTTCTTTCTGGTCGTCTAAGGATCGCTGTATGGCAAGAGGGCAAAATTTACCATAATAACTCAACAAATTCCTCACAAGTTTCCAATATTGTCACTTTACTAACAGTGGCAGAATATGAAGTTCCACAGTGCGTATGTTAACTGAGATAGTTGAGTTGCTCCTTACCTTTTGTGCTAGAGGGATATTCAGCTCTGTGCACATACTATTCAAACTTTTCAGAACACGTTTCTCCCAATAGACCTGAGGAAAAGGACAATATTAATATTTCAGAAGCAGAACTGATGATCATCATAGAAGTATGCAGATCAATAACTCCAACCAGCATTCAGTGTATATAAGCTTTCTTTGTTATTCATCATTCAAGAGACCTACCATGCATGGATTACTTTTCAACATTTTGATTTTTGATCCCCAGATTCCTTTAGATGAGCTGATCTCTGCTGAGGGATGAATTCAGCTACCTTAGTAGATGTAAGAGAGCTTAAATTAACCTGAATAGCTGTGGGGTTGGCACGGAAAGTAAAATCTAGACTTTTTTTAAAAAATTAGCTACGAGAAAAAGCATTAGGCCAAGAAACAGAATAGACATTACAGAAATTAATTTCTGAATCCACAAACATCAATAAGGCATTTTACATACAATATAAATATAATCCTTGCATTTGATATAGCACCTTACTACATGCATATTTTATTCAGTGATGTTATCACTAAGAATTAACTAAACTGTTACAGGCTTTGTTTGGCCAAGAAGGGAATCTAAAAACTACTTTCATTTTGCAGCTTTTTACCAAATTACTGTATGTGTTTTTATCTAAGATAATCAGTTCTCAGGGTAATCACTAAAATTTGCATGTTACTTTAGAAAGGCATATATCTCTGTTTATTTGTCTAAAATGTAGCATCAATCTATTTCTTGCCATTGCTTTTGCTGTTAGTATAATTATTTCACATCTGTCACATAGAAAAGCTCATTTAGTTCCTACTGGATCTTTTTGCTCAGACACTATATTACTCAAATATATAATCTTCTTTTACATAGATTATAATTTTAATGGATCAAAACACTCCAAGTTATTACTTTTGATGACTGCATTTTTATAATAGCTGGACTGCGCAGAATGATACTTTACTGAATCAATGCGTTTTTAACCTGCAAGATAATAATAATAATCCTTGCATTTGATATAGTACCTTATCACATCTTCAAGACGTCTCAAAGCCCTTCACAGGATATACTGCAAAGTGAATTGACTGTATATTTTGCGCACAAAACTCGGCATACAGCAATGTCCCACAAACAGTCATGGATTGAAGTGACCAATTTATTATTATTTTTATTTTTTTTGAAGGAATTATTACTCCCGGAAAAGCGATCCACCAATCTACTAACAACTGGGTTCCTACTTACTGCTTGGTAAACAGAGGCATGTGGAGTAAGGAAACTTGTCCAACATTTCACCCTGCTGGGAATCGAACCCAGATCTCTCTCTTGTGAGGTGAGTGCTCTAACCACTGAGCTACAGGATTCCATTACAAGATGGTAACAGTGTTGGTCTAGTTAAGCATTCACTTGGCTGTTCTCGGTTTGCTAAAGGCTTACCACAAAGTTTAACACCAAAGGAAAAAAAAACTATTGAGGTAAATGATCAGGTTTGCAATGTCAGTGTGAAAAACCAATACTACTACAACACATCCATGTAATAAAAATTACATTACAGTAAAAATAATAGATTGGATATGTGTGATGGTGGGTAAAAGGAGGAAAATCACCTTTCTTGTTAAAGGTAACAAGATTAATTAGGGAATGCAGATTAGGCCAAAGAAACACTGACAATGATATCCACAGCTATCCAATTCCAAGATGCAAAATTTTTCTATGTACGTTCATCACATGGCAAACTCTGATTGAATACACTATACAGCAATGTTAAAAGAGTTATTACAGGTAAAACAAGTTTTTGCTGAGAAGTTTTTCAATATGAAAAAATATCTTCTGAAATTCAACAATTCTTTGGAAAGTTCATAATTTTTAAATCACTCAACCCAGTTAGTCTCCTATACCATGTCAAATAATTTTCATACTCTGTACTACAACGTGATCTTTTAGGGACAGCTAACTAGTTTTCAAAAATCATTTTAAACAAACCTGTGCTCGCCTCATGTATGCCAATGCTTCCTTAATGTGCTCAATTGGGGCAGACGGATGAGAAGGTGGGGGAAGGCTGTGTATGGAAAAGATTTACAATTAGAACCCGTCAGAGTTACAGTTTGGAACAATACATCATTGTATACTTCCAAATGTTGGAAAAGAATTACACAGCAAAGGGCTTTTAAGCAAGAGACCTCAGTTCAAAAGCAGCAGGCTGAAGGATTGAGCATTTACATTGGCTATAATGGTTTTGTGTGAAATGAATGAAAATATCAACCGTGTCCCCAGTGAATTAGGGCTCACGACAGAAAACCCTGGACTACGCTGACAAACTCTCTTAGGATACCTGGTGTGCTAAATGGAAAATGTCGCACTGGTGCAGCTCGAGTTGTACTTTCCAGATTAGGAAGGTGATATTTGGACCATAGATTGCCCAATCCTCAACCAAAATGGAAAGTATTTCATTGAGATCCATTTTGGGTAGCTTTTGGCACACGGTTAACACACTATGCCACAAAAGTATCATGACATAGGTTGAATATGGCAAGTTCACATCTCGGTCAGGCTCGCTGTCTGATGATGTAACTGAGCCAAACAGAACTGATTCATTTACTAAGTGAAATTAACTGAAATTAGCTGAGGCAGCAGCAAACATGGTACCGTGGACTACAGTTCCCCTGTTCTGGAGGAAAGGGAAAAAAAATCAAGAGTTCCCACACCTAATGCAGTGACAAATGCTGAACAGTATTCTTGTGTGGACATCAAAGGCTCAAAATTGCACATAGCTTTAGCTTCAACAACCCCTCAGGGTACTCAGCTAAAGTGGCCTTTATATAAAGGTGGTCTCTGAGCAAGGGTTTGTTGGAGTGCGAACCTGGCTGTCTGAGCTGTTCCAGGGTGTTTAATAGGGGGTGGTTGCTGAATGGAGGTGGTTATTTGAATAGGTTTGACTGTATTCATTTGTAGAAAAAGATTTGTTGTTGAGAAAGAATGATTAAAAATGTATATATGAAGAAGCACCAAAGGGAAAATGACTAATTCAGGCCACAGTAGTATTGTACTAATATTTACAATCTCTTGTTACATCACTGCTGTGATAAGTTAGTTTCAGCACCAAGAAGAAACGAACCACATAGCTACAGTGGGCTTCTCCTGAACAACAACTTGCATTTATATAGCGCCCTTCCCACAGGGTAGCGTCTCAGAGCACTTAAAATAAAAAAAACTGTGAACAGTGAAAATGTTGTAGTGGAGTCAGACACAATAATTCATTATATACTGTACACTATCATAGTACCACCACTATGTCACATTCAAAGTGTTGGCATTATCAGTACTGTAAACCAAAGCCAAAACACCTTCTTGAAAAGTGACATGACATGCAATAAATAAAACAATTCATTAGATCAAATTAACTTTTGCTCCCTCATAAATTGTTTTGGTCACTTTTGTCTGATTAAGAAGGAATTAACTAGGTCAGATAAATAAATCTCAGCTCTGTGCTGTGAAAATGAAATAGTTACGATCATTGGTGAGTTCTGTTCATGTATTACTGATGGTACAGAAGAGGGTGTTGGGAGAAAGATATGATTATGCTTCAGAAAAGTCCGGAGATGTCAAATCTGAAAGGAGCAGGAATAGGTCAGAAATGATAAAAACGTAATATAAGGAGTTGAATCTAAAATGAAAGCAAAGCTGCTTGTAGAAAGGACAAAGACTAGAAAGCTCATCAAGCAATAAGTAGTCCATACATTATACAGATAATACTACGTTCCTGCATCTAAAGAGTCTCACGTACAGGATTAAATATTCATAATAATTACTCTGGGTTGAACCACTATAGTCACTCATGGCTAAGCTAGATATATTTAATGTAAGTTGCAATTTATATTCTATTTGGCAGCAATTGTGGAAAAGTGCTGGCAAAACCATGTCCCAGTTAGAACAAGAATACATTACAATATTACAATATTTAAAGATGTAAGCTCAAGTATTGGCTATGTCACTTTACTGAAGTTTGCCTTTTCCTTAATGGATGCATAGTGATGTAGTTTAGAAACTTTACTCAAACGTTAATGGGGATAAATTCAGGAATTAAAATATGCTGCTTTGTGTTTAACAAAATATCATTAAATGTGTAAACTACCAAGATTTAAGAGTAATACATTTCCAATAACATCCACGCTACTTGGGCTAACTTTTATTTTTTTAAAAAATGAAAAATTTAAAATGAAATCAGTCAGTCAACAGCAATGCCACTCGGAATCTATCTAAGAATAGACTTCTGTTGAAAAATGGATTTATAACTTTTTGCAGTTACTCAGGTAACAGCCATAGTGTATGTTTTACAGTATTATTAACATTGACTGAGTAATTTAAACATATTAATTACAAAAGATATTTAATTTGTGCTGAATGATTCTGAACATTCAAAGGATCTGGACCAAATAAACACAGAGGAACTGCAAATGAATTTTTACATAATTGCAGGATAATGCACAATGGAACAGTAAACATGAAATGCGTACACACAAATGAATGAGCGTCAATTGGCAGAGGTGGAAAAGAAAGGAAGAATGAGATTATTGATTATTCAATGAAATGTTCTGTCAATGTGATGTTTTCCACAAAATTCAATCAAATACCACAATGTATCTCAAAAGTATTGGCTATACATCAAAATAAGTTATTCTGCTGCATACAGTTCACTGAAGAGGTCATATTTAAAACACTGTATGCAAAATGTACCCTTATTGATGTGTCCCAAAGAGTTTAGAGAATTGCACCAAACAAAATTATGGGGCTTGAGGCTCTAAGTTATAAATTCAACATTATAACGGGATCGAAGAGCTTCAAAATAAACAGCGTCTCATTTTTCTGCCACAAAAATACTTGTCTTGGCTTGAAAATAGTGGGGAAAAGTTCAAAAAAAAGCTAAATTTACGATTGTCACCAATTAGTTATAAATCAGCTAATGAGAATTGTGGGCATCTATGATCACCTTTCATCTGTTTTTGAGGTGTGATCTGAAGCTATGGTAACCATCATCAATCTTCTTTTGAAGGAAATGATCAAAGGAATCTTACCTTTCACCTATTTATAAAGTGCTATTTAAAATGTTTACTTGCCCCGACGGTTGGATGGCACACTACAGAGTATGTACAGCATAGAAGGACGCAATATTCTGTCCTTCAGTCAGCTGTGCCCCAATTTCAAATCCACTTTAGGGATGAACAGAAGCTTTGTGTCTCTTCACGTGGAAACAAAAAAAGGATGGTCTATCCTTGACCGATCTTCTGCATCTCCCAGTAATCAGCTCATAAAAGTAATAAAAGAAATAAAGTAGCTTCCTCTCTTGAGCAGTGGGTGGCAGATTCAAAACAAAACCCATAGAAAGTAAACAACGTATTATTGTTTTCTCCAAAAATTCTGAAATATTCAAAGCACAAGAAAGAGGGGAGAGAAATCTATACACAATTGCAAGTAGATCTCACCAGGCCAGTAATATATAGACATATTTAGAAAACATACACATTGAGCTCACGGTAAACAGCATTCTGCAGCTTTTTCTCCCAACCTACAAAACAAGAAAAAAATACTGAGTGCTAAAGCCACATTTATAGGGTACTTTCTGGCTCCGTATCTTGAAAAGGACATTGACATTCTAAAGTCAGGCAAGAATCAGGCTGATTCCAAGGCTTCTTTTGTTATATATAGTGCTTCAAAAACAATGTTTTATGATAAAGCCATCAAATATATCTTCAAATACAAGATATACAAATATATTTAGCCCCAAATTATTCCATCACAAACTACACAATTCCACAAGTGCTTACTGTCTGAGTGATCAGTCAGATTTCTTCTTTGTTTCCATTGTTACTTCAGTACATTGCTTCCTCGTCTTCAATTGTTATAATATAATTTAAAATAACAAAACCAAAAACTATCTAATGTAATAATAATCCTTGCATTTGGTATAGCGCCTTATCACGTCGTCAAGACGTCTCAAAGTGCTTCACAGGATTTACTGTAGATGTAGAACTAATACCTGATTTCTGCAAGAATACCTTCAGATCTTCCTTGAGAGTGTCAATTCGAATCTCTGATTTATGAAGACTAGTCTGCAAAAAAGACAGGAACAGAGGTTGAAAACTCTGGATGTTGGTTACAGAACAAAAAACAATGGAAATGCATCTCAGAGGGACCACGCTGCAATATATCTGCAATATATAACCTATATACAGGGTGACTTAAAAGTCGTGACGCTACCCTATTACCTAAAAATATCATCATTTCTTTAAGACATTGTAATGGTATCACTTTTTGGTCACCCTGTAATTCTTACAATTCTGGATAATCCCAAATCACCGAAATAAAAGTAAGAGACCTCGTAAACGATACATCTCACAATTGTACAGTGTACCCAACTGTGCTTTTTTTGTTTATTTCATGGGTACTTCCCAACTCTTCCATCCACAAGATGCAGATTATTCGGAACGCTGCAGCTTGTGTCCTCTCCTGCACCAGGCTCCACGAACCGATCACCCCCTTCCTTGCCCGGCTTCACTGGCTCCCCACCCCTCAGAGAATCAAGTTCAAAACCCTGTTCTCACCTTCACAGCCCTCCATGGTCTTGCTCCCACCTATCTCTGCGGCCTCCTAACCCCATATCAGCCTGTTCGCTCCCTCCACTTGGCGGACACTGGCCTGCTTCACGTTCCTCGCACTTCGCGTCCCAACGGGCAGTCGTGTATTCAGCATGTCTGCCCCCAGCATGTCTGGAGCTCTATCCCACAATCCCTCCGCCTCACCCCTCTCTCGCCTCCAAGTCTTGTCGAAAGGCTGTGCCTTCGGCCACCCACACCGCCCCTGCCCTCCATTCCTCCTGACCCCAACTCCCAGCTCGGGTCCAAAACATGAAGGATGCTATACAAGTGTAATTTGTTGTTGTTGTACAGATGTCAATTAAAATGCTCAATAATATGACAATTATCAGTTTACATCGCACTACGATGGATATAGTATGCATATATATATGCATATATATTTCAGGAACGATTTAAAATAAAATAATGCAAACGTCACCATCATTACTTCTAAGATAGAAAGAATTATGATGACTTTCCATTGAGTGATATCACCAGGCTTGGAGTAGCTACTAAATCCAACAGTTAACAACATATATGCCGGGATCCGTTACTGTAAAGCGCTCTGAGACGCTGTCCAGCATGGAGGGCACTATATAAATCCAAGTTGTTGTTGTTGTATACTTATATAGTGTCTTCCACAAGGCGTGATGGCTCAAAGTTAACATGCAGAGTTGAAAAGATGCACATAACGTTAATGGCAATAGCTTTGCCAATGTCAAGAATAAAACTAACCTCCTCAAACTATACCTCCAGTCTGCTGCTTCTAATATAATAATAATCACGTTGTTGAGACGCCTCAAAGCGCTTCACAGAATATACTGTAACGTGGATTAACTATGTATTTATTAGCGAAACGCAGCAGTCAATTGTGCACAGCAGTGTCCCACAAACAGTCATGGATTGAGTGACCAAACTTTTTTTTTGAGGGATAACCCCCAGAGAGTGATCTGCCAATCGAATAACAACTGCGCTCCTACTTACTGCTATATCAGCACTCCGCCATCTAAAGACAATGTTCCAAAAAGGACAAAACATCATTTCATCTATGTAAATCCTAACCGTTACACTTTAAAATTAATCTGCAAAGAAAGGATTATTCCACCAATGACAGTGCATTACTGATATTCTGCCATTTGTGCCCAAATCCAAAACTCTCAAAAATGAGTAAACGTGGATTGGATCTTCTCTGCATCAGATGCTTGGAACTTTTCTGCTTCTGACCCTAATTAATCAGCTTTCTGCACAGAGAGTAATGGTTCCTAGCATAGCACACAGAAAGTTACATCAGCGATGACCTGACCACTTCAAAGCGCTGATCAGGTCTGGTCAGACCATTTGTAGCCCTGGCTTATGGACCCAAATCCCTGCATTGCCTCATTTATACCTGTGTTCTTCCTACTGTTACTTATGTTGTCAGAACTAAAACATGTTGAAAGTACTGTGATATTTTTGAATGCATGCCACTCAACTGACCATAACTTTGCATACAAGAAAAGTTTTCAAAAAATTTACTAAATTAAGTGCCTTCGGACACGATCCAGACATCAAAGGTGCTGCATAAACCGGTATAAACGTGGAGTCCTGTAGCTCAGTGGTTAGAGCACTCGCTTTGCAAGTGAGAGACCTGAGTTCAATTCCAGGCAGAGGGCGAAACCTTGGGCAAGTTTCCTTACTCCACACAGAGCCTAATAATAATCCCTCCAAAACAAAAAAATAATAAATTGGTCATTTTCAATCCAAGACAGTTTGTGGGACATTGCTGTGTGCAATTGGCTGCCGCGTTTCGCCCACAAATATACAGTAAATTCACTTTACAGTATATTCTGTGAAGCGCTTTGAGACGTCCTCCCGACGTGAAAAGCGCTATATCAAATGCAAGGATTATTATTATTATTATTATTATTATAAGCAGAAAGTAAACTAATTAAGCAGCCAAAGCAGAAAAATTAGTCCACAAAATGCTGCCACTCATCGCCACAAACAAAGCAACTCATCAAAAGGAAAAAAGCATTTAAGGTCAATGAAGGAAAACGGCAGAGTTATGTCAGATTCAATACCAGAAGACATGCCAGAACTGTAAAAAAAAGGGAATCAGAATGGCATAGAAAACTTTGTATGTCTTCTGACATTGATGAGTTGCTTTGTAGCCCCATCCAACCAGGCAGGACTGCCTTTAAGCATGGTACTTTTGCTTCCCATGGGCACACGTTGTTCCATTACCTTCATAATGTCAGGACCCCGGGTGAAACTCCCTTGCCTATTTCAAGTTGTGGCAAACAGGTAGATTGGACCTCAATTGAACGTCTCAGCCAAGAATGCAAAACAATTGCACCACTGCACTGGAGTATTATCTTAGACTATGTGAGATCAAGTCCCAGCAAGGGATATCTCAGCTTGTGAGATCAAGTCCCTTGCCGGGACTTGAACTCACAAGCTTCTGACTCAGAGGTGAGAGTGCTACCAACTGGAGGTTATGGATTAAAAAAGCCACACTTCTTTGCAATACAAGCCGCATTCTTTCCTGGTTTAAGCCCCCATGACACTGTATGCAAGAAGGATACTATACAAATGCAAGTTGTTTTTGTTGAATAGCCTTATTGAATTTTTAGCTTGCAACTGATTTTCATGTTGCCAGTCATTAAGATATTTCAGTCTCTCTAATCTGTGCCAAATATTTTAGCAACATTTACCTGCAAGTACTCAACAGGGGTCAGTGTTGCTCAGCAAATTAGGAGGTGTCTCCCCTTTGGGAATCTATTGTGTTGACTTTCTGCTAAACTCTATCCCTGTCATTGGAAAGTGACTGTGAATTTATTTGTACCGTTATAGTCTTAAACAGATCTTTGGCTAGGACTATGGTGTGAGAGGGTTGGAACAGTTTTTGGAATGTGCCTCTGTTTAGAGAGTGGGTATGGACCATGGCACTGGTATATTTGACTCATATACAGTATTTGTGCAGCACCATGAGGAACAAAAAGTAAGAATGATTTGAGATCCTTGATTATATTCTAGAATGACATTGCTGATTCTTAAATGTGATATAAATTGTCACAGCACTGCAGCCCAATCTACGTAAAGAATTACTTCCTGAACTTGCATTCTATTATTCTCGCTGTCTTTAGTTTATCTGACAGCATTGATCTGTGTTTACTTTCTCCATCACGTTTAGTCTTCTCTGAAACAACTTTGCAAGACTGGAAAAACCTGAATTTATCTCGTCATTTCTCATAGCTTATGGGATGAGCCTCAATGTTGTCCTCCCCACTGCGTCCAGGGTATGAGCAGCCCACTGTGCCACGGCAATCAGAACTGTACACAGCACGAGGAGCCCAACCAGATCATTCCCGTGAGCCTAATCCCACCTGGACAAGTACTATTCTGTATGGTTAGCAAATTATTTAAATTATTTTCAATGCTTCCTACACAATAACAACAAATTACATTTATATAGCGCCTTTCATATCAGGAGGATGTCCCAAAGTGCTGGACAGTTGAGGGTTGCACCTGATCTGGGGGTTGGATTCGGGAGGGAGGGAGGGAGGGAGGGAACCACTGGGGATGTGGGAAAGATAACCAAAGGTACCATCAAAGAGGGAGGTCTTGAGACAGACTGGGAAGGGGTGAGGCGGAGGGGCTCTGGGATGCAGTTTCAGAGGGTGGGGGCAGAAAAGCTGAAAGCCCGATGACGACGACAACAACAACAACAACGACAACAAATTCTATTTGTGTAGCGCCTTTCAGGTCGAGAGGACAATCCCGAAGTGCTGGACAGTCAGGGACGTGCACTCCAGCTGTGGGGTTACCATCCTCGTCCTCGTCCCGGTCCCCACTACATCCATCAATGGCATCCACTCTCTCTCTCCTCCCCCTGTGCCCCCTCCCCACTGTGCCCCCCCTTGCCCCCTCCCCCCGTGCCCCCCATGCCCCTCCCCCTGTGCCCCCCCCCCGTGCCCCCCCTGTGCCCCCCCCCTGTGCCCCCCATGCCCTCTCCCCTGTGCCCCCCCTGCCCCCCCACTGTGCCCCCCCTGTGCCCCCCCCCCCCCCCCCCCCTCCCCCTGTGCCCCCCCCTGTGCCCCCTCCCCCTGTGCCCCCATGCCCTCCTCCTGTGCCCCCCCATGCCCCCGTGCCCCCCCCCCTGTGCCCCCCCCCCCCCCCCCCCCCCCCCCCCCCCCCCCCCCTGCCCCCCCTGTGCCCCCTCCCCCCCGTGCCCCCCCGTGCCCCTCCCCCCTGTGCCCCCCCCCCCCCCCTGTGCCCCCTCCCGTGCCCCCCCTGTGCCCCCCCCTGTGCCCCCCCTGTGCCCCCCCCTGTGCCCCCCCCCCCCCCTGTGCCCCCTCCCTGTGCCCCCCCCCCCGTGCCCCCCATGCCCCCCCCCTGGCCCCCACCCTGTGCCCCCCCTTACCCGGGCCTCCCTCTCCAGCTCCGAGTGCAGTTGCGACGACTTCAGTTTCTTCACCACGTAGGCGATGGTGGCTGACAGTTCCTGGCCGTCGGCCTCCACATCGCCCTCCGCCGCGACCCCCTCCATCCCCTCTCCTCTCCTCTCTCCCTCCCTCCCGCGCGCCGCCAACCCGTCCGCCGCCACTTCCGGTCCCCGCGGCCCGCTGCTGTCTCCAGGCAACAGTCCGACACCCGCAGCGTCCGCCGCCCGACCGGTCCCCGAGCAACGGTTCCGCCCCCAGAGACACACACAGCCTCGTCCACAATCAGCAGCTGCTCACACACCACACACTCACACACTGCACTACACTACACACACACCACACACTCACACTACACTCACACACACTGCACTACACTACACACACACTACACTCACACACACACTACACACACTGCACTACACTCACACACTGCACTACACACCGCAATACACACACTACACTACACTCACACCACACACTGCACTCACACACTGCACTACACACACTGCACTACACACCACACACTACACACACTGCACTACACACACACCACACACTGCACTACACACACACACACTGCACTACACACCACACACTCACACTACACACACACACCACACACTGCACTACACACACACACCACACACTGCACTACACTCACACACTGCACTACACACCGCAATACACACACTGCACTACACTCACACCACACACTGCACTACACTCACACACACTACACACTGCACTACACACACACCACACACTGCACTACACACACACCACACACTGCACTACACTCACACACACTACACACTGCACTACACACACACCACACACTGCACTACACACTGCACTACACACACACCACACACTGCACTACACTCACACACACCACACACTGCACTACACACACACCACACACTGCACTACACTCACACACTACACACTGCACTACACACACACCACACACTGCACTACACTCACACACTACACACTGCACTACACACACACCACACACTGCACTACACTCACACACTACACACTGCACTACACACACACCACACACTGCACTACACACTGCACTACACACACACCACACACTGCACTACACACACACTACACACTACACTCACACACTACACACTGCACTACACACACACCACACACTGCACTACACACACACCACACACTGCACTACACACATACACCACACTACACACACTGCACTACACACACACCACACACACCTCACACCGGACTACACACACACCACACACATCTCACACCGCACTACACACACACCTCACACCGCACTACACACACACCGCACTACACACACACCTCACACCGCACTACACACACACCGCACTACACACACACCGCAATACACACACACCGCACTACACACACACCACACACCGCAATACACACACACCGCACTACACACACACCATACACTACACACCACACACTGCACAACACACCACACACTGCACTACACACACACCATACCATACACTGCACTACACACACCACACACTGCACTACACACACAACACACCATACACTGCACTACACACACCACACACCATACACTGCACTACACACACTACACACTGCACTACACACACAACACACCACACACTGCACTACACACACACCACACCAAACACTGCACTACACACACCACACACTGCACCGCACACTGCACCACACACACTTCACTCACCGCACTTCGCGCACCACACCATATACACACTACACATCATATACACACTAGGCTCCGCGCACTACGCACCGCACCCGCACTTCACGCACCGCACACATACCACACACCGCACTACACACTGCGCATCACCCACCCGCACGCTGCGCTCCGCCCACCACACGCACCACCCACCACACACACTGTGCACCACACACTGCACACCACACACAGTGCACACCACACACACTACGCGTGCACTGTACTGCGCGCACCTCTTATATTTATCTTAAATATAAGATAACCGATGGACCCAATAGGGAGTTTAGGAGGAACGTCTGGAGAACTCATCCATTGACAATCAGCTCTAAAGTTGTCAACCACCTCAGAGCCGCCGCTAATTAGTCCCCTTCCCATCCAATGGGAACGGCAACAGGAGGGAGGAGGCACTGCTGCTACTCCTCTGCTGAACGGGGACAGGTCATGGAGCTTCGGTTACCCTGGGATGCTTCTTAAGCCGGACAACATGGCTGGCCCCGATGTGTTTGGCTTAACCAGAGTCCACTGTAAGTTCTGCATTCTTGTCGCCATCAGCCTAAAGAAGTTCCTCCTACACTCCCTACTGTTGGATCCACCAGTTATATTAATGCTCTCTAGTTTTGAACTCAATAACAAGTGGAAACAGCCCATCAACATCCACCTTATCGAATCCTTTGATAATTTTAAACACTTCAATCAGGTCGCCTTTCAATCAAGAATCTTTCTTAATGTGCAATCTTTCTTAATAGCACACCCAATGTCAGAATTCAGCACTCAGATCTCTACACACCCAATGTCAGAGTACATCGCGAAGCTCTCTACCCACCCCATGTTAGAATACACCACTCAGCTCCCTACGCAATGTTAGAACCCAACTCCAAGATCTATTTACAAACCTTAAGGGTTAATGTAATCTTGATGTAAGTTATAAAATGGTACGAATGTTTTGTTCCATGCTGTCAGTGTTAGTCCAATAATTGTTAATATTAAAACAGCTCACCTGAATGGAAGACAGGTGGCGTGTGTTTGCTTTGCCTTGATGCACCACCTGCAGACATACAAAAGCATTTATCAAAAGTAAAGGCTCACAGAAATGTGACACTGACTGGCTTCAATTCATACCCTTCTATTGTGCAGATTTTACAAAATACAAGGTTCGTACTTGTATATTGATATTAATGACAAATTCTGGAGGCACTGTTGTTTCCAGTGGCTACTTATTATTCNAAAAAAAATGTTTGTGGTCAGCTGGGTGTCCAACAAATGCAGACACCCATCACTGTACTTAAGACTATGCAAACCAGACTGAGCGTTCCACATATGTATGTCAAGTACAAATGGAAATTCCACGCACGTGGAACAGAATGCACAGTCTTTCCCTGGAGCGCCACGCCCTGCTTACCTAATTCTGGAGAACAGCAGGCACACATTAGCAAGAGAGACGACTTGGAGGCCCCAAGTTAAAACTGCTTAATGGCAGGCTTACCACTGCTTGTCCAGCTAGGATCACCCTATTTGGGCTTCGGCTTGCGGGGTTAACGGGAGCTGAGCGGGAAGAATCCCTGCTAGTATTGAACTGTCAGCCCCTCTGAGTCGTGCTAATGAGTTAGGATGACTAGTCCATCATCAGCGGTGTCCGAACGCGCTGCAGACCCGCTCGGCTCAGGACCAGGACGGCCGAGACCATCGCAGAAGGTTGACTCGATCCTAACATTCCGTTGCCGAGCACAACTGAATCAGCTCAGTTCCAAGGAGACTTGGTTTACCAAACCCCCAGAGGAGGAAAGTTCCCCCCCCAAAAATCTGATCTTATCCAAGAAAGATCTTCCGTCCGACATCGGTTCCTTTTAGAAGACGCAATCTGCTCAGGAATCTCCAAGCCTCCAGTGAAAGTAAGGCTTTTCACTGAAGCTTGGTGAGTGACTCTTTTCGCAAGCCCAGTTACATAGCACCATACATTTACCATTTGTGTATGTTTTTATTTCAGAGCCCTCTAACACCCTTCATTGATCACATATATGTGTTTTACCAAGAACTAGCTCACCACTTTCATTGCACAGTGTTCACATGACCATTTGCCCATCCGATAACAGAACACAGGTGGTGCACTTCTCATACTATGTGAATTGATGTTTTATTTGAGGGCTAACTATTTTTAAAATTACTGGTTATGTTTGGGTCTTCCATTAATCCTGCCCTACCTGATTCTAATTAGCAGACTTGAGTTTGTAGCTCAACACTATAGTTTCTTCTTTGTGGCAACGTTTTGTTTATTGCTGCAGAAGAACTGTAGGTCAGCTGTCCTAGAAAACACCTCTCTAATCCAAACAAGGACTTGCGATCATAAAACTGGCCTGCACTCCAGAGCTGAAGTCAGAAGGTTGTGGATTCAAGCTCCACGTCGGGACTTGGAATCACATAGTCTAGGCTGACACTTCAATACAATGCTGGGGGCTGTTACTTTGTTGAGGGGTCCTGTGCTTCTGATGAGACGTTAAATCTAGGTCCCGTCTGCCTGTTCAGGTGGAAGTTATGGCACTATTCAAAAAGAGAAAGGAGTTTCTCCCAGTGTCCTTGCCAAAAATTCCCCAAATAAAATTGGTCTCTCACTCCATGGTTGTTTGTGTGACATTGCTGTGCGTAAACTTGCTGCAGCATTTCGTCCACAAAATACACAGTCAATCCATTTTACTGGATATACTGTGAATTAGTGGAGTCCTGTAGCTCAGTGGTTAGAGCACTCGCTTTGCAAGCGAGGGACCTGAGTTCAATTCCAGGCAGAGGGCGAAACCTTGGGCAAGTTTCCTTACTCCACACGCCTAATAATAATCCCTCCAAAACCGAAAACAATAATAAATTGGTCATTTTCAATCCACGACTGTTTGTGGGACACTGCTGTGCGCAATTGGCTGCCACGTTCGCCCACAAATATATAGTCAATTCACTTTGCAGTCTATTCTGTGAAGCGCTTTGAGACGTCGAGAAGTCGTGAAAAGTGCTATATCAAATGCAAGGATTATTATTATTAAGTGCTTTGAGGCATCTCGACAATGAGATAAAGTGCTATCCCAAATGCAACAATTGTTGTTGTTGGCTCTTCTTGTTGATAAGTGCTGCATTGTCAGAGGTGCCATCCTTCACATGAGACATTTAACTGAGGTTCTGTAAACCTCTTCTTCAGGTGGATGTTAAAGATTCCACTATACTAAAGGGAATTGTTCTCACTTTCCTCCAGATAAACTGATCAGTCATCTCATGGCTGTTTGTGGAACCTTGCTGATTATTAATGCCTGCCTCGTTTGCCTACAAAACCTTGACATGAATATTATAAAAAGCTTTGAGATGCTTCAAAGTGATAAGGGCCTATAAAAATGCAAGTTCTTTTTTTCTGAGATTGTAAAGGGTTAGGAAAAATACATTGG